GCGGGCAGTTTGGAGAGCACGAAAGATGCGTAAGAGTTGCACGAGGCGATAGCCGAGTACAACTCTAGCTTCTTGAGTGCTCTCCAAACTTCCCAAGTGCATCCATAACTCGATATACGCACAGCTAAAAGCATGAGCAAATTCTTTTATAACATAGCTCACAAAAATGCTTGCTTTTTGATTAACTGCAAAATTCTCGTAACGCCCGACACAATAACAAACGGTTCTATTGGCTGATTACGAACACGCCACAATCGTCTAGTTTGAATGAAAATATTCTTTCTGTGAAAGTTAGAAAGAAAATTTGCTTCTTTATTCGTTAACGATCAATGGAAACTAAGTAGAAACAAAGGTAAAAGAGTCTTAAAGTTCACCTAAAGTTAAAACTAACATGTTCATAAGAAGTCGTGGAGTATGGTTTGGATTTGCTGAAAAGATGTTTACGTTTTGCTGGGCGAAATCCAGAAAACATGTTTTTAGCGAAGACGACTCTCATCCTTCTTTAAACTTACATTCATTTACGAACATTGGCTGGTCATTACGGCTTCTTGAGAAGACCTGGCAGCAGTTATTTTTGTGAGTAATGAATTTATGTCTTCTTGTGTAATTTGTGTTGTTATTGCGATAGAAATTTTCCTGCTTCAGTCGGATTGTCCAGAGATAACAAAGTGCACAACAAATTTAAAAACAACAATAAAAACGGAAATTTTGCCTTTAAGTGTTGTTGATGACCAGTTGGTGTCTATTCTGTTCCCAGTGAATGTCTTCCGGCCAAAATTTGCTGCAGCTGGTCTTCGACAAATTTGCGAACAGCGCGCAACTTGCGAGTTTTTTTTTTTAATTCGGCTTTATTTTTGCTGCTTGTTGAATCAGGACCTAAAAGGTCAATGCCGATAGAAAAATTGGGCAGTCTTCGCTGGGTTCTTCCATATTTTAAAGAGAAGGAAAAGTGCACTACAGCTTGAAAGACGACACCTTTAATTTGCAGCCAGGTAAAAAAAATGCTCACGTCATCTTATTTACGCACGGGCGTGCGTAAATAAAGATTTTGTTCTTAGCGGCTCAATAGGACTTATATAGGGAAAGCACGCGCGCTATGTTATAATGTATTTTATTTAATATTATAAGATGATATTTTTGTCACTTATTTAAGTATAAGACATGAGTATCAAGAACATTTTTTTATTTTGTAAAAACATTTTTATAATTTGATATTAATAGTAACTGATTATTGAATATTGTTTATGCGTAAAGTTACAAGTTTAATTCCTTTAATTTTTTAGTGCAATATATTCCACAAAGCTAAAGCAGTAGCCACACCCAGTCGTAGTTAATCAATAAACCAATAATCTATAATAATCGATATTATTATATAGACACGAGTGTTTTACTGGAAAATATACCACTCGTAAAATTCATAAAAACTACATCCGGGACCCGAGTGGTTTATTTTCCATAATCTCACACGTGCGCTAGTTCGTAAAATATTGTTTTGCCACTGGAAAATAAAATTCATATCTTCGCGCCACCCTGTAATATCCTCTATGTAATCGATATCAATCATCGATGAATATCCTTTTCCGATATCGATCGATAGAATCGATAAAGAAAAAAGTTGTGACTTCGATGAATATCGATGATTTTCCGATAGAAATCGATAATAATTTTTATCGATTATTATCAATTTTGGTAATCGATAATAATCGATAGATTATTTTTTTTCTGTGACAATCGATTTCCGATATCAATCCATATTAATCGGCGGATTAAATCCATTAATATCGCTGATATCGATCGATTTCCGATATAGATTTTTATCGATTAACTACGTCTGGCCACACGCAGTCACAGACTGCCTTTTATTTATGAATCCGTACTCTTCTCAGCGGTACATACCCATTTTCAGGCGCGGCGGAGCCTCCATTTCCATAGAAAATGGAAATTTGATTTGTATACCCGAAACGGCGGCAGAGAGACTTAACGAACCACACTTAAAATGTTGTGCACAGTGTATATATATAGGCCATTTTCAAGATCACGACATTTGACTTCAACTACCAGAATTCATTTCGTTTTTGCTTTCTTATTTAAATTTGTCAATCCCGCTGAGGATTAAAGAACAATAGCCTTAATTTGCACAAGAAAACAGTAAACCGGAGGATTCTGGTAGTTGTATTAAAATGATGTCATCGTGCACTTGTCCTGTTGGTCGATAATTTAATTAATCAATTATCAATTCAATAATAGATGGTTTTCACAGTGACGTCATCAAATTGTAAAATCAAAATAGCGAGGTTTTACGTATTCTTATTTACATTAGGTTGAAAATAAACAAAAAATAAATCTTTGTACAAGTTTCCATTCCCGTAGCATATTTCATTTCGAAAATACGGCAATTTGAACTTCAGAATTTTTACAGTGCGTGACACCAAAATGGGAATGCTGTACGTCTCGTTGAAAAAAAAGTCTCTCCTCTTGATTTTCAGTGGTATAACCATTTCAAGTATTAGAAGATATGTTTATGCGCACGTATGCTAGTTCTCGAGTGAAAAGAAAGAGCTTTTATAGAAAAAGTGAACGCCAGATGTTTTTGTTGATTTCCGGCGGCCATACCGGTGGACCAAAACGGTACACCAATATGGCGTCTCCATGCAAAGCTCTACAAAGGTGCATAAAACGTTTCGCAAATAACTCAGAAACTGTGGGCCACAAAGACCTGAAACTTGGACAAATCGTTTACATTTTAGTCTTTTATAACATTTCGTTTCTTGGCTTCTTCCACTGGACTGGTTTCCAATTTATGTTTTTGTTTCGTGACAGTGAAAACGATCTATAGCATAGCCAGCAAAAGGCTCATGTACAAAGCGCATGACAGTTAAAATATTTTTGAAAAATTACGATAATCCTTTCAAAGTTTAGTTAGTTATCTAAAGCCTTTTCGGGTCACAAAACGTTGTTGCCTGCAGCGGAGATTCATGGATGAGAAAAATTTGGGGTAATCACGTTACTGTCCGATCGTCCACCCCCTACATTTAGGGATGCCAAATGTCTCATTTACTACTTCCACTACATACCCTTACCGACATAGAAATAAAACTACGCTTCCTCATAAAGGTCAATTGAGAGCTGTCAAAATAGGGCATACCCTGACCATTATCATATGACTGTACAGCGGGCTTACTTTTCTATCCATCAGGGTCACGTATGGTTTTGAACCTTTCTGCTAATATTTTATTTGATCGCGGGTTCGATTATTTTTTAGAGGATCTCTCGTATCAGAGGCTCCATTGCTATAGAAATTGGAAAACTATCGATGCGAGATAATTTGGTTATGAAGTCAGCGTACGCCAGGCTGACCGCCCGTCCGCCCGTACAGGCGGCAGGGAGGGACTGAGTAGACACAAATTCCTCCCCTAGACATCTTTTTGTCACCTATTCTTTCAAAAGGCTTTAGAAATGATTGACCAATCAACATCCATCTACTGGGTATAATATATAACAATTATTCACCGTAGTGGAGGTGGCTAGTCGTGGTTATTTACCAAACTGCGAAGCAGTGAGGTAAATATCCACGACTAGCCACCGACACTGAGGTGAATAATTGTTTTAGTATTTACTAAAACAGTGAGGTAATTGAGCACAAAAATGATGATTTTTAACTCAAATACTGTTTCCAACGATTACAATTTTGGCGCGTAATGACCGGGCGGCCGCGGCCGTCGCTTTTTCTTGCCGACAATTAAAACTTTTGAAGGCATTTGTTTAGCTCTTGCGGGGAAATTTCTTCAAAGGGAGTAGTGAATTCTTTTTGTATTTAAAATCATTCTATAAAATTAGCTTTAAGCTTATTTATGAACAAGTCAACTAAATAAAGTAACGCAAGACTTAAACTTCATTTGCATTTGTAAACAAAAAGCTTTTTCACCGGTTTTATCGATAAATTCGTGTCAAAAAGACAAAGCTTTACCTGTTAAAACTTCCAATCCGAACTTCGTCACCTTCTTCGTGTATTTCGGAAACAGCTTGCTTGATTAGTTGTGAACTTTCTTTGTTTGTTTACGGCAGCAAACCGGGAAGGCATTTTGCTCGCAACTTACGCGAGTTTGGCGTCGCTCGCTCGGAGGAACTGGAGGTGAATCAGTGAGTAGTGCAGGATATTCACTGATTGAGTAGCAAATCAGAGTGCGCGAAAAACACTATCCACTGTTTGAGTATATACTAAATAGATTTAGCCAGGGCTAAAAGTGAATCTCTTGTTAATATGCTTATAATTTACACAAAAAAGTAAATCTTTTAATGCTAAAGTGCGAGCGAAGGAACGAACGAACGGCAAAAAATAGGTCAGTGACTATTTGTGCAGAACCCGTACACCCACTTTTATCAAACGGGAGCTAGTGTCTTCATGAAATTTTTTAGAAATTTCTATGAATTTCTATGTCTCTTTAAATTTCTGCTCAACAAATATTCACGAAAGTGAAGTCTCTTCATAAGTCTCCGTGTAAGTCTTCGTATTTTCGGAGTGGTAAGATTTTAAATCGAATTGGGGGCGTAGCGTCTGCAGTAGATTATCTAGACCACTATACCACGGCTTAAAGCGAAGCTTCCGTTTATATACTCATAATAAACTCCATGGCATTCTTCTTCTCTTTACCACCTCCCCTTCCCTCTAGAAATGCCAAGGATAAATCACTATTTCGTGGATAAGCAGATGGGAATCCAATTGTGTTATCCACTGAATAACGATTTATCCAGTCGAAAGTGCTATCCACCATTTGACAACTGGAGGCAAGCAAGTAGAAAGCACCAGCCCTTATAAAATGCATTACTTTAAGGCGATCAGTACGTTTTTAAGGTTCGGAAAAGTTTTTTGATCGCAAAAATATTAACCTGTACTACCCAATGTAAGGTGCTACCTAAGATAATTTATTCCTCGTTAGTGGTTGTAATTGATTCTCTATTTTTAATTTTCACCCTAGATGTTTGATGACTGATGTTTGGGTATGGCAGCTACTTTACAGAAAGCTGAAATGTGTGATAACCGAGTGCATGGAACTCCCAAAGTGAAAGTCACTATTTTGGCCTCTGAATGGGGATCAAGTTATGGGGGACTTTCCACCTTAAACAGAGAATTAGCTATTCAGTTAGCCAAATTCCCTGAGGTGGAAATCACTTTCTTTTTACCAAAATGCAGTCAAGAGGACAGAAAGATAGCTCTGGAACACAAAGTAAAGATCGTTGAGGCAACACCACTGACTGGCTTTGAACAACTGAATTGGCTTTGTTTTCCGCCAGAAGATTTGCATATCGACATTATCGTAGGTCATGGAGTTAAACTCGGTAAACAAGCACAAGTCATTAAGAACTCTAAAAATTGCAAGTGGGTTCAAGTGGTGCACACAGACCCAGAGGAACTTGGAATGTTTAAAAGCTATTCCAACCCAATTTCAAAGGGCGAAGAAAAGCACAAGACCGAAGTAGAACTGTGTAAAATGGCGGATCGTGTTGTAGGAGTTGGACCCAAGTTGAGCGAGGCCTTTCGGTCATATCTTTGTGGCTGTTGTAAAGATGGAAATGTCTTTGAATTCACTCCTGGAGTATTTGAAGAGTTTAAGGATGTGAGGCAGGCTGCTGGCCAAGGGCAACGACGCAATGTCTTACTGTTTGGTAGTGGAGACGTAGAAGATTTCGAATTAAAGGGATTTGACATCGCTGGGAAAGCAGTTGCTGCATTACATGATACTCGTCTTGTGTTTGTTGGAGCAGCGGATGGAAAATACGAAGAAGTAAAAAATCGTTTTATCAGATGTGGCGTTCCTACTAACCGTTTGAGAGTAAGAGGATTTGTTGCCCGAGAGAGTTTGAGGAGCTTGTTCCAGGAAGTGGATCTTGCAGTCATGCCTTCGAGAACAGAGGGCTTTGGACTAACAGGACTCGAGGCAATGTCAGCTGGTCTCCCTGTGCTGGCCAGTCGCAATTCTGGTTTTGGAGAAGCACTGCGCAGTGCAGCTTTTGGTTCATCATTTGTAATTGACTCAGAGGACTCAGCAGTGTGGACCGTAGCCATCCAGAATATCTTGTCCAAGGACAGGGACTGTCGACTTGAGGAAGCGGTGACCTTGCGTGACTCCTATGGCAGGAAATACAACTGGACCAAACAGATAAAAGAGTTAGTTGACAGGATGATCACCCTGGCTCATGGTAGGAATGTCAATTATATTTTCTTCAGTGGCACATTATTAGGAAACAATAGAAAGAAAAGTGAAAAGAAACAAAAATAGGATGTCTTACAAGTTTTGCCCGGAAGTCTTGATTAAAAATGTTTGAGAATACCTATCTGAACCTTATGCTGATAACAGCAAAACTGTAACGTTTATAATGTTTTTTCCGGTACATTGCTTTCAGCGGAATAGTCTGTAGAGAGCGGTCGTCATACCCTTCGGTCATAGGCTTTATTTGTAGTACTTCACGTATATTGTTATAGTTACACAAACATAATCCCCGCAATAGCATGTTTTCTCTCTAAAGGCCCGGAGCTCCTTAGAAACAAAGTGCCACGCTTCTCAGAGGGTGGAAAGCATGACTGACGACCATGAAGGTATCTTCGTAGAAAGCTTGCGTAAAAATCATTTCTGTCTATTTTTAACCAAGTGGAAGAAGCACAGGAGGCGCGCGAGAGGGAGCAAAAAATAGGGACGGGGAGAGGAATAGACTGCCGACCGCTGAGCTTCTATCCCAGGAATACACAACCTAATATATGCCCAACAAATGTCCGTCGCTGGGAGGAACGGGCACACCTGGAATTGACTAAGCCTTAAGTTTCAAAGAGATTTAATTATTATTCTAACCAAAGCTTGTTTTTGCAGAGCCTTCTATGGAAATTGAAAACAACCAAAGAACAAACTCTTATGACGACCAGCAGCTTGTTTCAGAAACGTCCCTTAGTAGTGACCGTGAATTGAAAGCTGATGCGGCATCAGCAAATCCAACTAAAATATCCACGAATTCAGACTCTCAGTCTCAAAATAGCCGTAAGCGTAAAATGTCAGAATTCTCTTGTAATTCAGGTAAGCAAAAACACGAGTTGTTTTTCTTGCTATTGCTCACTAGTACACTTCTACATGTAAAGGTGGGGGGAGTGATTGTTAGATTACTCAAAGGTGCTTTTTCCTACAGGACTTGTTATCGTTTACGCTCATAGTATGGAAGTGTATTATTGATAATAGTAAACCTTATATAGCGCCGATATCAATAGTCGCTTGATAGTCGCCATTTTCATCAGCGGTTATAAAAAAAGATTTTGAACAAATGATAAATAAATATATAAATGTACAAAAAATTAAAGATATCGAACACTAAATCGTAAAGATTACTTTGCTTACTTAAACCGTGCAAACTGCATAAAACCTTGCTAAAAACGAGTGAAAAAGGTTACATCAAGTTACATAAGAGCTTTCTAGAATGAAAGTGCCTTGAGTGCCTTCTTAAAAATGACAACGGAGGGGCTTCTCCTTATCGCAAAAGGAAACAAATTCCGAAGTTTGGGAGCAGCAACAGCAAAAGAGCAATCTCCTAACGTGGTTTTAGTGCTGAATTCTCCACTATGCCATTAAAAATATCTTAGTGACAACTATTTTCAAAAATATGTGCGAACGTCAACATTCTATTGACATTCAAGTATGCAGCTAATATTGTGAATATGTGATAACGCCCTAACTAAGTTGCCTTGTGGGGGCTTGGATAAGGTTTTTAAAGCTCTTTAGCTATGGTTGAGGTGCCTGAGTAGACATTCAGTAATGATGAGTACCTTGACGAGAGCCGTCTCTTAAATACAGGTACTTCAAGTGAGGATAGCGGAATCCGCTATAAGAAGCATATGCCTTCCAAGATAGCTAGTCATGAAGGTGCATCTTCCCTGAGAAAGGAACCTCTCAAAAGCTGGAGTATGCAAAGCATACCAGGATGCACTTCTAGTACAGGTAAATGGAACAAGCTAATTACTATTTTGTTATATTGCTGCAGTAGTAATGAAGGTTTAGGAATAGTTTTTAAGGTGGCGCACCTGGTTTAGGGGCAAAGCATTCCAAGTTTTAGCATTAACCACGTCGCCATTGACCAAGATATCCAAAATACTGTCACAAGTGTCATATCAATGTAATGATTTCATGACGAAATTATGCATTAGTTTTGTTGAGGTGACGGGTAAGGGTGGCTCAGGCATCAAAGAAAACCCGCAACAAGCGTTTCCTGTTGTTGTTGTAGTTTGGATATCAATAGCAGTTTTACCCGTTAAAATTAATAACGCAAAGAATGACTATTCTTACGTGAAAACGAACCAAAAATCTGGAAATGAAAATTCAGTAAGTTGACTGAGCCACCCTCGGGCGAGGGAAATTTGACCTCGGACCAGCGCCCTCTGTCCACTCCCGAAATCAAAGCGTCCGGCGAAGGAAGGTATTTTGGACATGGCGCGAGAAAATGCTCATCTCCAGCAACATGCGTGGGGATATTTCCCTTTTAAACGTTTTCTGAATTGTAGCGACGATAGGACTTTGCCTCTGATCGAACAAATGTGCTACTCGATGGGTTTTCCGCAAACCGCCTTCGAGTGGACAAGGTCCGGACTGCCGGCTGTTTTTCTGTTCAGCCTTTACTTCGTCTTACGAAGGGAGTGACAGGGGTCACACAATAACAACAACGACTTAATCGATGAATTCACACCAAAAAAAACACAGGAATACTTCAAAGGTAATTGTTTTTCATACAAAGTCTCAACGGTCGCCTGTAACGCTACACCGACATCTCTTGTAAGAAAGTGTATTTACATTCCAGATTCGCTAGCCTGCGGTACAGACGTCCCCCCTTCCTCCAAAAATATCGGGAGAAGAGACAAATGTAGCCTGTGTACAGACTCCCTCCTCCCTCAGAAAAAATGGGGGGAAGAGTCTCTTCCCCCGATTTTTTCTGATGGAAGAGGGACGTCTGTACACAGGCTACACATTCGCCTGTGAAGACACAAATAAACACCAGGTTACATATGTGCCGTCTGTGTTATATTGAGAAATTTACCCGTGCGTTTCAATCTGTTATCTATTTGCAGTTTTATTTCTCACCTGCACGAATAAAGTACGTTTGTTGAATTTCCCCTGTGTATTATATATGGGTAATGGTTTTTCGACGTCTGATAAGCTTATACATGAAATAGACCCAAATCGTCCCGCAACAAGGACAAAACACAAAAAGATTATTAAATAACCAGAATTACGCCATATTTCTTGAAAAACTATGATAGTTGAACCTTGATTATCCGAACTTGTTTCCCTGGTCCCGTTTTTTTTTATGAATATTAATACGATGTGATCTTGAACAATTGAAACGATTAAAAAAGTTCATTAATCCTTCCAAACTTGTGTTTAAAACACTGTTTTTAATCTGTTTCGCTTTGAAAACGTGCGAGCGGCACGACGCGGGTGCTTCCCATTATGCCAAAATTTCCGGAAATTTCAGGTCCAAATGCAAATGGAACGGTTTGGCCCAGGTAGAAATTTTCCGCTCAAAGTGGTCCGCCTCCAGAGGTGGTCATCTTGGACTGGTCGGTCCGGTCGGTCCGAGCGAAAATTGCCGTTCCATTTTCAGAAATTTTCGTTTCCAGTTTTGCTCCAGCTCGTCACTACACACAGTTGTCAGAATGGTGGATGGTTCTGATGTAGGAGTTTACGAGTGCAGTGTGTGCAAGCTTCAGACGCAAGACCTTAACTTTCTCCTTATGCACAGTTGCACACAAGGCTTAGGCACAGTAGTGCATCTTGATTTGTTTTTTCTTCTGGGTTTATCAGTTTTTAAAGACAAATCAATTCAAAGTGGACAGACTGCAAATTATAGTAGTTGCCAAAAAATATATATCTACGTGTCGCAACTGTTCATTAGCAGGATGCCTAAAATGCGTGCAATTCCACAATTGGTTTCGGCTCCATTAAATCCTAAACCAACCGCAGAACATTTTAGGAGGAGCCACCCACCATGTGAGCACAGTCACGGACAACACATAATATTTATAAGTGAGGAAAATAACGCAAAGTAAAATTAAGACGTTAATTAACGTACTAAATGTACACGTCAATTAAATAAATAAACAAATAATACGCGCGCTCAAAATAAAATTGTACGCGCGCACGTACCAAGATACAACTGAAATACAACCCTCAGACCTTGTTTACATGGAGTGGGGGACCCCGGTCTAGTGGGGTAGGTTTCTTTTGTTTTGTTTCCCCCAGAGCGTGAAAACGAAAGAAACCAATCCCACTAGACCGGGGTCCCCCACTCCATGTAAACAGGCCCTAAGCAATAAATAAGTATTATAGCGGAGCTCCGGCGCGCGAAGCGCGCCAGCGGAGCACCATGGGTAATAAAATTTGGTAAACCATCCATCCGAGAAAATTTGGTTATGACGTAGCGTACGCCCGTACACTCTTTGCGGGGCAGGGAAGGGAATCAGGTGTCATCCCGTCCGGGGGAGGAGTATGTTATAAATCGCGCGATGCATTTGTGCAACCCACCTGTTTCTTGGCGGGAAATCGCGCAAGAAATGACGTGGCTGTCGTCGCGTTCAAAAACCTGTTTACTTCAACGGAACTACTTCATTGCATAAGGATTTTGTGTTCGGAGAGCTCAGTTTCTAGTAAACTGTTTCGAAGAAATTGTTATGGCAACAAACAATAGCGGATTGGATTCAAACTATTTGCTTGTAAGTGAAAAGCGACGGGAAAGAGAAGAAGAGAAAGGCATAGAGTAAGAATTAACAGGCGCGCTAGCGAAGAGGATTCAAGTGGAAAATTTATGCAGCATCTGCGACTTGTTCACTCAAAGCACTGATAGCTGAAGCTGACAGAGTTTTGAGTCATCTTTTGATGTTTTTACCTGTCTTTTTGCACTGGATCTACAAAATGAAATACAGCAGCTATCAACATTCTTTTGTTATTCTTGGCTGGCTTGTTTACTGGGTTATGGTTGAGAAATGCACCGCACGACAAAAAGAAATCGGGAATCATCGTTTTCAAAAATAAGCTACTCTTAGTAAGCTTACTTCGCCTTGCTGGACCATGCGAAAAATCTTAAGCGATTGTGGCTTATTTTTTTAAAAATTCATATGAAATATGTTGTGTTTATGTCACTATGGCCCCGCACTATTAAGATTTTGATTTCAAACTAACCTTGGACGAGAAAATTCAGCCAGTTATTTAGAAATACAGGTGGGGAAGACCTTTTCTTGCCAAGGTCACGCGTTGGTCACGCTCTACGTCCAATTTTTATGCTCTGATTGGTCAAAATTTGACAGGTGAGTTCATGCGGTAAATTTATGCAGCATCTTGAAACTTGTTTACTGTGACAGCTGAAGCTGACAGAGTTTTGTGTCAACTTGTGATGTTTTTAATTGTCTTTTTCTACTGGATGTACGAAATGATATTCAGCTACTATCAAGAGTCTTCTGTTATTCATGGCTAGTTTGTCTATTGGGTTTTTGGTTGAGAAATACGTCGCCTGTCAAAGTCGGAAATCCGATTTCGGATGGCATCGATTCGTTTTCGTTTTTCACCTTGCTTGATTGAAAAGTCTGAAGCGGTGTAGCTTCCAGGAGCTGCCTGAGTAATTATTGTATTTGTGTTTGTTTTTTTCATATATCTAATTTCATGAAGCCGAGCGCAGTTTATGAGGCTAGAGTTTATGCATATTTGAATTAAGATTTGAGATAATGATCTGACCTATAGTATGAAGTTTGATTTACGCTTGCAGAACTTTAAAAAGTCTTTAGTCGATATTTTCTCACCGCAAATAGAAAGAAAAAAACGTTGCGTTTTTATTTTGGCTGTAGAAAGAAAGCTTTGAGCAATTTTCTCGCCTCGAGTTCATCTTTGAAAACAGCAAACACCGAGAAGCCGGCTTTAAAACGTAAACTTAGGCCTTAAGCATTAAGTCTCAGGATTCTTAGAGACACTTCAATACTTAATTGTCTTCGTGAATGAAAATTGATGTCTCTGTAAATGTTTCACCGAATTATATTTCTTTTATTGATTGTTAGTAGTCCCTCTTGCAATTTGCCGTTAATGTTTTCAGTTGCAGGAGAACTCAAAACGTCGCGCGTATTAAACGCTTGTTAAGTTTACACATAATAAATAAAAAAAACACACAATAAATTCTTTATTATGTTGAAGTGTAACTCTATTAGTGTTCATTCAAACACTCCACAGCTTGCAACTGGCTGGCCGTTATATAGGTGATTTTGGAAATTTTTTTAGCGGTTTCCCTAAAAGCCCACGCGTGCTTCGATCGTCCTGAATATTGAGTGAGTGCAATTTATATTTCAAAACTGTGAAATACTGCATTCTGTCTGAGGTCTGTATGATAAAAACAGCGCCTCATAGTACTGTTTCACCTCAGACTGTCAGATAAAAGGTTGGTTTACACGCCCCCAGATTTGTTAGCAAGATTTCGTAAAGCAAACTTGTCAAACGGAAAAAAATTCTGCCGGATTTGCTTTCCAAGTATTTGTTTTCCAGGCCTAATGTACTGTGATCAAGAGCCATTATCGACGTTAAATGTGATCGTAGATGATTGCTATTTTTTGGGTGTACATATAAAGGCCGTCAACTCGATGTAAGGTTTGGTGCGCTCTTGGACTGTTAGCAAATTATTTTTCTCTCAAATCACTTAGCCTTAATCCTTCAAAACAAAAGTCACATGAATGTGCTCTAAAGTGAACTGATTTGTGGAATACAAGTTTATTGTTTGATTGAAATTACACATTTATTAATGGGAGCTTCGCTTTTGGCCCTGGCTAAATCTATATATTACAATAACTAAGATAGTACGCGCGCTCTGATTGGCTGAGAGGCGTGTTTGCATGAGAGTATGTAAACATGGTTGTGGCGTCAATCAGTTTTGCTTTTCGCGCGCTAATCACGCAAGCACGAATTTGAAAAAGTTTTCAAGTTCAAAACTCGACAAGTTTACTTTATTTACCCATTCCTTCGTCGGCTGAAACTTGGAAAAACGTTACAAAGAAAGTGTGTGAATTTTTTTTTCGCTAAAGCTGACATTTTAAGCGAGAAAAATGGGTATTTTGCAAAGCATCTTTTTGCAAAACAAGAAATGATTGCGCGTGCAAGACTTCGTGGACAAGAGTTTGCGAGTGGTAAGAATTTCTCTTTTAATCATTGCCATACAAAGAATTTTGCGTTTTTCTTCGGGAAATTTATTTTATAAAAGCAATAGAAAACTTTTTTCCTGTGTTTGCATAGCCTGATATAAACACTCGAGGCGTTGGGAGAATTCTCGACAGTTATGCAAACCCTCCACTTGGTCTTGGGTTTGCATAACTATCTCAAATTTTCCCAACCCCTCTCGTGTTTATATCAGGCTATGCAAACACGGAAAACGTTTTCTATTGCTTAAATGTAAGGATGCGATGGTGCAATTCAAGCCTCGATTGCTAATCTCATCTCCCGCAGGGCTGCACTATACTTCTCGACGATAAGACCATGGCGACTGAAGAATTTATTAAATGATTTCTGAAGTAGATTGTTTTCAAAGCCTTGCTGTTTGAGACGTAATGAAAGTCCACGGAGTCTATTTATGAAGTCAACTTTGGACGTTCAAATTCTAGCATATCTCACCAGTTGAGATATATAAACACCGTAAGCTGGATTGGTGGGAATGTTGCTGTCCATATGAGGAAGTTGACAATCCGAAATGAAAAGGCCTCCCTCTTGTCGTAGATGCTGATACGGAAAGGTGTCTATCGCCAGTCTTGATATTAGTGTCAAGATAACACACTTCAGTAGATGATGTGGAAGTGTCCTTAAGTTCCACGACGGGTAAATTGCGCTCATGTAATTTCCAAAGTCCACATTGTTAACACTGAATAAATCGTCGATGTACCGAAAGGTGTTGCTGAATTGGATGGCTCTTGTAATATCCTGTTTCATTGTTTGAATATATTACTGGCTTCTCCGAATGTTGACGGTGTTTTCCCTCATTTTTCTCTTAGCAGTATGTGATCCTAGCTCTTACGACAATACTAAACAATCAGTTCGGTCGGAGTTTTGGTTCCAACGCGTTCCATTTTCCGTTAGTTAATCCGAGTGGTCTCTGACCGGTTGGAAAGGTATAATGGAAAGCACCCGAGATGAACAATAGACCTATTCGGCCAACTCAATGTTGTACCCAATTCAAATCTCCCGGGGTTTAAGATTCTTTGTGTATTGTATTTGCAATATAATGTAGCATTCACATTTAAATGATATGGAAATTCCTGAAACAAAACGGTTTATTCCCAAAGGGTTTGAATTGGGTACAACACTGAAGCCCCGTGCAAACGGATTCAACATTGTTGGCCAACAACTCCCAACATTGTTGGATATTACATGTTGCGTCCGTTTGCACACCCTGTTTCATGTTGTTGGATGTTGTTGTGTGTTGTTGTGCAAAGTTTGAAACCGGTCAAACTTTTCAGCCAACAACTTCCAGCATTTCTTTTGTTCCATGATCGCCGAAGCGTAGCGCAACAATGTTGGATCCGTTTGCACAGCTCCTCCAACATTGTTGGGGCCACGCACGCTCATTACGCATGGTTTACAAAGACTTATGGGTTGTATCCTTCCTACGATGCACTGCAGGTCCCAAAATTGTTGGGAGTTGTTGCATCCGTTTGCAGACCACTGCCAACACACACGCAACAACTCCCAACATTGTTGCGCCAATAATGTTGGGAGTTGTTGCGTCCGTTTGAACGAAGCCTGAGTTAGCCGAATTAGGTCTATTTTTCTGATGCATTCAGCTGAATTCCGATTGGCTGAATTGTTACGTTGCTAAGGAAATTTCATGCTTAATTCCGTGTGGGTTACGTAAACACAAATCACAGCCATTTCTACGAAACGAAAGCAGTCTGTTCTCTGGATAAAGGATAAGCAAACGATTATTTCGCGTTTGGAGAAAGAGAAAAAGGAAAAAATTTAGCACTCGAGTTTAAAATCAGCAAGCAGCAGATCTCAGATATACGCAAAAACAAAGAGAAGTTCGTGAAATTCACCGACAGCGTCGAGACGAGCGAAGGATTGAAACGAAAGTCCCTGACGGCTGCAAATGATGAGCAGCTGGAGAAAGCAATATTGACCCTATCCAAATAATGCAGCTTCGACGAATGATGGACTTTGAAGTATGCGATCACGTTGTAGTTCGTTAAAACAAACTAGTATGCTTGAACATTTTAGAGTGCTGTAAATGCGCGAACACTTGAAACAGTGCCTTTTTTTATTTGTAAATAACAAAAATGCAAGTGGAGCTAATTCACAGTGAAATTTTTTGTCTTTATTCCCTATTTTTACATTATTGTCTCATTAATATTCATATTTTCGATTATCCAGACTCTCGATTTTCCGGACTGTTTACTCAAATCCCAACGATTCCGGATAATCGAGGTTTTTAGCTTTACTTTGAATGTGGCATATTTTTCTCCCATATAAATACCAAGAAAATGGCTTCCACTGCTTGATCTCAAATTATACTTTGAAGGGCGAATCGCTCAAGCACGATTCCAATAGGACTTCCGAAGCATTTCATCTGCAACACACGTTCCGGGTTTGATTGATGTACTGATAGCTTTCCACTCAACACCACTTCGCTGTATCAGTCTTGAGCTCCGTTCGTGGGCGAGCGCATTTTTCAGAATCGCGGCGTTTGAACGTTTCCTTCCTCCCCTTCCTTCCCCTTCCATCCTTCTTTGTCGCTTTTGTTCCTGCAGCTTTCACGTCGAACTCGCCCGCAAATGCTTCTATGCTGCGCAGGTTAATTAGCAATCATTGAATGAAGCTGAGTAGGATATGATTAGAAGACTTAAGTAGATCGAGGCTGAAGGCTGAGATCTGTATAATTCTTCAATAATTGTTTTATGCTTCATTCAAAATATTTTTAAGGCTTGGTTCAGACGCCGTACCTTTCATGTGCCGAACCTAATTGAATAAGTTCGACTTTGGAGCGACATTGTTAAGTGCTGATGTACTTAATTGATTATGTTGTACCAGACATTACACTAATGTAGTTTTCGTGGCAAGCACTGAATAAATGTAGTTCTTGGACGACATTTTCGAGTACTATAAGTTCTCTTTGCAAATTTAGTACCTGTACGAATTGTCCCAGAATATTTGACCACTAAATTGATTGCTAGATAACTATGGCCGAGACATTAATATGCTTCTTTACAATCCTAATAAATTGCTTTCCTAAGAAATCACCTTCAATTCTTTTACGTGTAGAGCCACACTTGAATTTCAGTGTTCTTATTTTTAAACTGCTACTGAAGGACTACATACAAAGACAGTCAGTTTTGTGTCGGGCATTGACAAACATGCAAAAATAAAATGGGCTACTTGAAATTTTGAGATGCCTACTTTTTCTTTATAATAATGAACCTTAATGTTTTGTACACACCTTTTAAAATTGTATTGGAGGTTGTCAAAGTGAATTTAAATGCATGAAAAGATCTGTAATGTGTAGATTAAGGGTCTCCACCACATTTAAGGGTCACAGTTGTCTGTGACCGTCAAAATGTATTTTTAGAGTTACATGCATGGGGCGTGGTTCCACACGGGTGGTTATGGGTGGCGGAGATGTGAATGGGTTACAAAAACATATAAACATTATTTTGTAAGAAGCTTATAATAAAGGCTTGATCTCACACCAGATGCTCCTGATGTACCCAAGAAAGTTTCTGTCACTGAAAAGCAGCCTGTTGCAAAAACACATGCTTTAGTCTCTGGATTCTCAGAAGAGCTATGTCCAGTTGATGAAGGGACTAGATACTCGTAGCGTTTCGGGCTCACTTCTGACCAACGCCTGGGACCATGATTCACCATTTGGCGAGAACACATAAACAAAAAAAAAAAAGAAACGCCTGCGTTTTTAGAGTCTCGCAGCTAAAGCAAGCTCGACTAAAAAGTGAACAGTAACAAAAATGGGATCCCTTCCAAGTTTTGCCCTTAAGTCTTGATAAAAATATTCGCGAATACCTATCTGAACGTTATGCTCTGATAACAGCAAAACGTTTCTATTTCTTCAGGTACATTGTTTTCAGCGGGATGGTCTGTGGAGGCTATTTTGAGACTGTCATAGACGGTCATAGTCCTTATTTACAGCACTTCACATATTTGATTGTAGTTTTATACACATAATCCCCGCAATAGCATGTTTTCTCCATTTTGTTGCAACAGAAGATTCTCTAATGGTCCGGAGCTCCTTGGAGGACATGACTGAGGACCATGAAGGTATCTTCGTAGAAAGCATGCGTAGAAATCATTTCCGTCTATTCTTAACCAAGTGTCGGTGAGGAGAAGCACGGGAGGCGCACGATAGGGAAAAATACTGACGGGGAGAGAAATAAAACGCCGCCCGCTGAGCTTCTATCCTAGGAATACGCAACCTGATATATGCCCAACAAATGTCCGCCCCCGGGAGGAATGGTCACGCCTAAAATTGACTGAACCTTAAGTTTCAAAGAGATAATTATTGTAACTAAAGCTTTTTTTTTCAGAGCCTTGTATAGAAATTGACAACAACCAAAGAACAAACTCTTACTACGACGAGCAGCTTGTTTCAGAAACGTCCCTTAGTAGTGACTGTGAAATGAAAGCTGATGCTGCATCAGGAAATCCAACTAGAATATCCACGAATACAGACTCTCTGTCGCAAAATAGCCGTAAGCGTAAAATGTCAGAATTCCCTTGTAATCCAGGTATGCAAAAACGTGAGTTGTTTTTCTTGCTATTGCTCAATAGTACACTACTATACTGTATCTAAATGGGGGAAGTGATTGTTAGATTATCCACAGGTACTTTTTCCTACAGGACTTGTTACCGTTTACACTCGTACTGTAGAAGTGTATTATTGATGATACTAAAACGTATTTAACCCCGATATCAATAGTCGCTTGATAGTCGCCATTTTTATCAGCGGTTATAAAAAAAAACATTTTGAATAAATAATAAATACTTGTAAATAGATAAATATATAAAAAATTAAAATATATCGACACTAGAATTATAAACATTACTTTGGTTACTTAAACTGTGGATACTGCATAAAAACTACTGAAAACTAGCAATAAAATTACATCTTATTGCATACATTGTAAGAGTTTTTCTGGAATGAAAATGTCTTGAGTGCGTTCTTAAAAATGACTAGTGGGGGGCTTCTCCATATCGCAAAAAGAAATAAATCCCAAACTTTGGGTGCAGCAAAGGCAAAAGAGCGATCTCCTAACGTGGTTTAAGTCCTGAATTCTAAACTATGCCTTTAAAAATATGTTAGTGACAAATGTATGTGTGAACAGGTTTTCCAATTTTGCTAATATTACCTTTCATCGAATTGCTATAAACGTTGACATTCTATTCACAGTCAAGTATACAGCTATTATTGTGAATCTGTGCTAACGCCCCAACCAAGTTTCCTTGTGGGGGCTTGGATGAAGTTTTTAAACCTCTTTGGTTATGGTTGATGCGCCTGAGTAGACATTCAGTAATGATGAGTACCTTGACTGGAGCCGTCTCTTAAAATCAGGTACTTCAAGTGAAGAGAGCAGAATATTTTTTTAGAAGCATATGCCCTCCAAGATAGCTAGTCATGAAAGTGCATCTTCCCTGAGGAAGGAACCTCTCACATAACAGTAAAAATTATATTAACAACGTAAATTTGTGTAAGTAGGTAGATAAATAAGTGTTAAGTTATTGTGCATACTGAATGTTTTGTTATAGTTTAAAAACGTTTAACTTTCCTGTTTTTGATTTTCAGACTCTGTTCTTACTACTGCCTTTATCGAAGTTATAGTTTCTTCAAATGCTCAAGATTTAACTGTTGAACAGCAAAGAACGATAACTAAAGAATTAGAGCAGTTGGTTCATAAGTATCGAAGACATCAAGATCTTTCGTCATTGCCATTTCATAGTAGTGTAGCCCGCCTTACTAAGTATATCGAAAAGGCTTATGAAGTGGCCGTAATGATGGTAAAAACAGGATCTTTGATAATAACTGTGCAGTGCCCCACTCTGGAGAGTCTTGAAAGTCTGTGGAATGGTTACTGTTCTGGTTACCTTAATGACGTTGTTGAGAGTTTCCTGGTGACTGATGAACTCAAGAGAAAGCTGGGGTTGGACAAGGTCAGGTTGAAGACAACTATAGAAGAAGAAAACTACTTAATTTGTAAGAAAGCTTTCATGGAAAACTCAGGTGAGTTGGGAATTCTCAGTAGGGCTTTTTTGAGAACATGTATTTTGGCTTAATAAGTTTTATGGAACCATTTTATTTCTGTATTCCTTAAGCAACTACGACGACGACGACAACGACAACGCAAAAAAAAAACAATTGGTTTTATGAACAAAACGACAATCACGATTTTTAGTACATTTCTTTGACGTCCACTGCACGACTACGACGTGAAACCTCCCAATGTGACGTTTTATAGAGGACGATTTTCCTTTCTCTACTTGAACATGGATATTCAACTCCACGAGAAATCGCCTACCTTTGACGAGTTAAGCTGTTCCAAATAGACGCGATAGAGTTTGAAAGGATGCAAATTCATCTCTTTAGTCATGTTTTCACTGCCGTCGTCGTCGAAGTTGCTTAAGGTCCCTATTTTTGGGGGTTGGACTTGCGAACCGCGTCACGCAGTCACGCAGTCCATCACAAGCACCACATTAAGGCTTAACTGCATCACGCAGTCACATCAATTGATGGTTTTCACAGTGACGTCATCAGATTGCAAAGTCAAAAATGCGAGGTTTTACGAATTCTTATTTACACTAGGTTGAAGATAAATGGAAAATAAATCTTTGTACAAGTTTCCAGCCCCGAAGCATGTTTCATTTCGAAAGTACAGCAATTTGAACTTCCGAGTTTTCACAGTGCGTGACACCAAAATAGGAATGCTGTCTCATTGAAAAAAGTCTCTCCTCTTCATTTTCAGCTAGTTTAACCATTTCAAGTATTAAAAGATGTGTTTATGCGCACGTTTGCCAGCTCTAGAATGAAAGGAAGAGCTTTTGTAGAAAAAGTGAACTCTAGATGTTTTTGTTGATTTCCGGCGGCCATATTGGTGGACAGTTTCTGTTCACCAATATGGCGTTTCCATACAAAGTTCTACAAAGGTGCGTGAAATGTTTCGACAAATAACTCAGAAACTGGGCTACAAAGGCATGAGATTTGGACAAATTGTTTATATATTAGTCTTTTACAACATTTCATTTTGTTGACTTCTTCCACTGGACGGTTTCGAATTTTTTTTTCCGTGTTTATTGCGTGACAGTGAAAACGAAGAATAGCAAGAAATGTCTCGCTAATGAAGCAACCAACCAGCCTATGTCACTGATATTAGTATTATAAAGGAAATAATGGGAGATGGGAGAACATAATGGGAGATCTCCCATTATTTCCTTTGTAATAAACAAAATCTTCCAACATTGAGTGAGTATATTAATATGCCTGATGCCATATATGAGTGCCATTTGAAAAACACTAAAGCATTCCCCAAGGGTTCACACTTAAAACAAGTTTTACAGGCCGTTGTAACTGGTATTTTGTTGTTGGTGACACTATTGTTTTTATCACTAGGAGTAGCAAGTATCACTGAAACTTCACGTCAAACAGTTGATTCAGGTCAGGTAGAGGATACAAGGTGGAGTGAAGAAAGCTCAGATGTTGTAAAAGTAAATGTATTTCTTTTAGTTGTTGAGTAGATTGTTTTGCTAATCCGCAGCAGGATTAGCTCAGTCGGTGGAGAAATGAAGGTACTGCCTTTTCCCGCAAATTGCTGTACCTCGGATGACCATGTAAAATGGCGGTCCCGTCTCCATTAAGAGACAAAAATAGTGTCCCCAATTAATACTTTCGTGCCAAATGCATTGACATTCATATGAAGCGCAAATTGTTATCATATTTGATCATTAGAACCTTTATAAGCCACTCCTTTTGAATTTCACACCACTTGACGCGACCAGCTTACTCATGGCTGCCTTTTTCGTTTTATCATATATGAGGTTTATAGGTACATGTATACCTACGTTTAATTTGTTCTTGTACGTTTGTTAATTTTTGCTCAGCATATCTTGTTAGCGCTTATGATGTGTCTAAAATGTGGCTGTTCTTAGTTCTTCGTATCCTATGTTCTGCATATACACCCAATCGCAAAAACGTTGTCATAGCAAAATGAAAACATAGGCACGTTAAACGTGCATGAGCTATTTTGAATGCTTCAGTGTAACTTTAATGCTTCAGTGTAACCTTACCAAGAGTGATGAATCTACGTTTTTCGTCCTAAATGTATACTGGGTTTTTGTGCGAAATTGAGCATTGCTGTAAATAAATGAAAACGCGAAACGCTCAGCTGCGTCGATCCTCATGCTACTTTCCTCTGTCTTTCCCTGTTACATTTCGTGCAATTTAAACAAATTGTTAAAGTAAAATATATGTCTACTCACCAAACGTTGATTAGAGGGAAAACTCTAAGGTTTCCTCGGAGTTTCTTACGCCAAAATGTAACTCATCGAATTCGAGTAGTTACGAAATACCAGGATTTTTATCATTGTGGTATATGGTTGCATCATCACAATTCACGAGGTTTTCACGTGCGATTCTACTCAGTGAAACAGTGTCTAACTCTGACAACTTATTTCTTCATGTTTTAAAAGCTATTGCTTCTTAACACAAGAGCCTTTTTTAAGGCATTGGTTACAAAACAAAACAGGTCTTCATACGTTCAAGTTACTATTACTATTGTGAAAAGCCAATCTGCATGAGATGCACAGTCACACAACTGGCACGTGAAAGTGTTGGACTTTGCCCTCTTTTGTGGTTCGTACGTGAGGGAATTCGAGTTATCACAGAGTAATCGAGTAAACAGAATTATAAAAATAACTCATGCACACAATTTGCACGTGAAGATGTTGGTCTTTGACCCTTTTACAATTCGTACTTAAAAAAAAACGCAAATTGTTTACTACAAAATTTTCTCAAACGATTTTAAGAAATCACCTCGGCTTCATTACAACAGCTGCAATTAAATTATGTTTCCTGCAACGTCAAGGTTGATAGCCTAACAATTATAAACTTCCAAGAAAATTATCAAACTGCCGAAATATATTTCTGCTCATATCATGTTACTCCACTCAATAAAGCAGTACCTAATTATTGTGTCAACTAGCTTCTTCCAATTTTATTCCCTAACGCTACTGTTTCTACTTAAGTTTATACGCATCTTTCCTAAATAAAATACGTTTCAATAACTATAATGCTTAGTATGCAGGAAGGATGTATCATGTTGTTCACTTATTATTCCTTTTTGTTGTTGTTTTGCCGGAACGAAAAAGGTCTGTTGAACTTTGTAAGCGAGAGAATAATATTTCTACAGCTTGTTTACAGGATTAACAATACTCGGTACAGCTTTAAAAAAAATAAGCTGCTTTTCAAACTTCTAATACCACATTTTATAGGCCGCATACTTTCGAATTAAAGTCCATATCTAAATATCAATTATTGCTTCACTGGAAGAGCTTTGAAAATATATGATCGTTTATACTCTACCTTGAAGCAGGTGAAACACAACTCATAAATACGTGCGTGGTACCGTTCGCGATAGCCGAATTCGGTCAGAAATGTCTTGAAGTAGCATCCACACTAAAATATGAACCCTTAAACAGCTGCATCACTGTACACAGCGTTTGAATCATGAAGATATTTAATATAATGTTTCCAAACACCTGTAGCCGTAATAAAAGACGAACAAATTGTAAAGAATCAAGATGGCGGTCTTAAAGTGCCCTTGTTCGACCTTTAGCAATGTCATTTTTAAGTAGATGCCAAGATCTCATTGGTTCCTTAGCATCAACTCATAGTACCTTCAACCTTATTGGCTCTTGCAACAAACATCCGAACATACAAAGTTACAAAGATACAAAGCCACAAAGATACATACGCTCACACCACTGACATATGAGCTATTTTTTCAAAATAGCTCAAAAAGGAAAAAGCCAAATAGCAATTAGTTAGGCTAATAAGCCTGACGAATTGTTTTGCAGCACCCGCACATGGACGCCGTATTTACCTGTTGGAATTTGCTATTGTTTTGAAGCTGAAAAACGATGAAAAAATTCCAGCAGGGAAATGCAGCGGCTGCAAATGAATCCACGCTGAGAATGAGGACTAATTAGCCTGATTAATTCCTATTTGGCTTTTTCCTTTTTTTAATTTTTTTAAGAGAACGTTATTGCAATTAGGTGTATCCCTTATATTTTGGTGCTTTTACTGTTACTCTTATCAGTATAATAAACTGGATTGCTGGCGGCTCCCTCCATTCATCATAGTGCTGTTTTGTCTCTTAATACTTATAACAGAGATATTTTCTATTCGGCTGAGCGTAGCGATAGAGAATACAAGTATATTTTCTTTGGGGAGTGGTGAAACTGGCAATATAATCAAGCAGTATGTAACAAGGCAACCAATTGTAGATCAAAAAATTTTTATCAAGGAATTATATATAGGGTTTGGACCTTGTATATCACAATAGTAACCTGAAGATACTACTTAAAACGAAAGTGGTGAATAGGGAGAGTTACTAATTAGCTGTTAATTAGGTGCAAGTATAACAAACAAATACCAGTAGTGACACAATAAATTAATTTGTATTTACTCGGACTGATTTATTGTCATCCCAGGACAAGAAGCAGGCCCTGACACCTATGGCCAGAGCTGAGAAGGCTAAAGTAAGTTCAGCGGGAACTTCATCATAATGTAATAATATTGGAGTGTGCGCGCGCGTTGTGTATTCAAACAAAGCAAAACAAATATGAAAAAAACGTTACTCGGTGGAAGGATTAAAGTGCCGTGGTTGTTGATTATTTGTGAATGCGTAGGAATAGGAAGAAATGATATTTTTTCAGGATACTCTGTACTCAGCCGTAAGATACCCTACTATAGACTGCGAGCAGTCTCTCTTTTTCTTCAGATTTAGTGAGAGCAATGGACGCGCGCGGGAGCGGCGAAGCCGCGAGACGCGCGAAACGAGGGCGGCACGCGCGTGGCCATTTGCGTGTCTCGCGTTTTGCTCGATGGACTACAGAAAAAAGAGAGACTGCTCGTAGTCTACTAAGAAAAAGGAAACATTCAGCAAAACACGCTCGGTTTTCCTGTTTATTGTCCATTTTTAATCGAACATATGCCAACTTAAGTCGTCCAGCCTAATCACAGTTTGATTGGGACTGGGGTCGATTACTAAATTTTTTTGTGAGAGTTTGATTGATTAAAGTATCATTGTTTTCTAAAACCATAAGACATCTTTGAAAAGGAAGGGTCGCTAGGTGGCTTTTAATTAGTTGTAACTGTACGGTTGTAAACAAAGACGGGTTTCATGAAAGTAGTTGCATCTTCCCAAATAACTTTCAAGAAGAGCCATAACCCATTATAGCTCTTGCTTTCAACAATTGCTGAGTTATGTTTTGTATGATCAGCTTTATGTAAGGTGTGTGAATACACGAAGATCCTGGATGCCATTTTTTGTCTGTAGAAGTGCTTCTTTTTAAAATATTGCAGATCTGTTTGTGAATATAGTTTTTAATCATCCTAGGACAAGAAGCAGGTCCTGACCCATATGGAGAGAGCTGAGAAGGCAAAAGTAAGTTCAGTGAGATAGGTATTGTAGTGTGCGCTCGTTGTGCATTTTACTTGATGCAGGGTTGGAAAATGCCAAATTGGTAACTGCGTTTGATTAATGTGCAAGTCGTTACCACTTCGGAAATTTTTGAGAGCCAGGAGTTTATTTTGAGCTGCAGTGTCCCGAACCCGTATACAGTAGGACGCCCTGGGGGACTTTAGCTCAGGTCTGAGTTATTCAAGTTCAAGTTCATGTTCATTTATTCACACTTATTCAATTACAATACAACAACAATAAGGAAAATAAAGCAGTAAAAACTCAGCGAGCTATACATTGAATTAAACATAACAAAGGAAAAAGTGTGTAGCAGCCAAAGGAGCCAAGCTTTCGAGTTGGCTACTACAACAGAGTGGTTACAAGTGGGTGGGGGTTATACAGTACTTATAAAAAACTGCTTAAATTAAATAATTAAATAAATAGAGCTAAATAACAGATTAGAGTTGTTCAAGATGCCTGACTGTCAAGTAGAAAGAGTTCATATTCTTTTTTAAAACTATTCGAGGGGAGACACTTAATTTTCATAGGTGTTGCTTCCCAGGTCTGTGATGCCACTACACTGAACCTTGCTAGGCCATAATTAGTTCTGGAAAACGGTCTACACAGGTTTTGATTAGTGGCGTACCTAGTATTATAATTATGGACAGCTGAAGCCGGTTGAACTAAGTCATAGAGGGCAGGAGGTGTATCTTTTTTTTGATATTGAATTTTATGCACAAGAGCGCCAATTTTTAATTTAAAGATATTCTCTAACTTTAAGATTTCTAATAGTGTAAAGTACGGTGTGGGACTTTCTCTTTTGTTTACAAAGAAGATGCAACGAATAAAGTTATTTTGACTTACTTTGATTTTATTTAACTTAGTTTGGTATGCGTAACCCCAGCTCATTAATCCATTCGTTAGATACGGATATATGAGAGTATAGTACAGTTGTTTGAGTGTACTTATAGGCACATAATGTCCAAGCTTAGATAAAATTCCAATGTTTTTGTTATTTTGTTGTTAATGTGCTGGAGCTGAGCATCCCATTTTAGATGTTCATCAATGAAGACACCCAAATATTTAATCTGGGACTTTTGCTCTCTATTACAAGCTCTTATTGTGACATTTGTTTTCTTCTTAGGTGAAGTAATTATCATGTAATTAGTCTTCTTGAAGTTAATGGACAGCATATTTGCTGCACAGAATTTTAAGACCTTTCCAAGTTCTTCATTGACAACTGATTGTAACTGTTCTGGGTCTTTTGAAGAATAAAACATATTTGTATCATCTGCAAAAATCCTAAAAGTGAATTTCTTCGAAGACCTGGGCAAATCGTTAATATACAATAGAGGTACACCACATGTGATGGTTTTCAGGCTAGATTCTGTATTACCAACTTTGACATATTGCTTACGATTAGTTATATAGCTTGAAAACCATGCATGGGGGAGTCCTCGGATGAGTTATTATCTTCAGTATTCATACACATACAGATAATATTGCGAATGGACAGACATTTACTAGTGAATCCCGTTAAGGTTGTTATGACATAACAAATAACCGAGTTGCAGACTTGTAGACTATTGGAATTGGCTGTTATCAACTGGCGTGATTTTAAGTGATCCTTTCAGAATTACTGTCTCGTTTCTCGATATCTTTTTAATCAGGCGTCGAGAGGCACTCTACATAAGGCTGCTATCAGTGGAGAATACGAGATGGTCAAAAGACTTGTTGAGTGTGGCGAAGATGTGGATCAAAGAGATCAGGTTTTAGTCTTCTCCAGTTTATGTAATTTTTGTGCGAAGCCGTAAGTCCGACTTCTCGCTTTCGCTTGGCTTGGGGATTCTTACTTTCTTTTCTTGCCTTAGTAGACTACAAGTAGGCGCTTGTGTTGGGGTGTTGCGCCAGCTTTCGAGCTGGCAGGGTAAATGAAGCAAGAATTTGTATAAAACTCTTATCGCATACCTTGCGTTTGTGAATGAATTCATACCTGATTGGCCGGTGATGACAGACACCATTATTAAGACGGATAACATAACGGGAAAATTCACCAATTTCTTTGTTTTTTTTCCCGTACTTGGCAATTGTTTCAGGATACTCGGATTTACTTTTATTTACTATGTATGTAGAAAATGGACACGAAAGCGTCATATTATAGCTCACGATGTTGTAAATGGTTTTGACTGATAATGAAATGAGATCTTGCGCGAATGTTTCCTTTAAGGCTGGTTTTCACTAGAAACGGAGTCGGAGTCGAAATCAGGAGCGTAGAACTTTACCATCAAGTGAAGTCAGCGTTGTGATTCCGTTTACGACTCCGCCGCTTACGTTCAAGTGAAAACTAGATCGTCGGAATCGCAAGCAGAAGTACAAAAACTAAGCCAATCAAAAAGCATGGGAACGTGCATTGTAAGTGTTTCATCATTCCTCTTCTGCTTCCGACTCCGACAGTCTGGTTTTTACTTCATCGTAAGCGACGGAGTCATAAGCGGAATCGGAAGAAAATGGAAACTTTCTGATTCTCACGACTCCGATTGCGTCGCTCTTGCCTCTCCGCTTACGATTCCGACTCCGGCTTCGTCGCTAGTGAAAACCAGCCTTTAATAGGACTATTGTTGACACTGAGGGACATTCCGACATTCTCTGCAGTAGTCGTCATCAAAAAACTCGTCTGATTGCTTTCACAAAGGAAGACGACTTCCTTACAGGTTGTAGAAACATCAGTTACTGTTACCAACAGTGCTATCCAGGACTACAATCACTCGGATGATCGTAAACTGTGAAGTTATGGAGGAAATGTTGCTAGACTAATTACGTTCCCAACATGAAAATAATGTTTAAGGCTAAGGCTAAGCACTGCAGGGAATGAAAAGTTTTTTATTTGTTTAGTGGTCGGTTTTTGTTTATTTTCGTTTGTTTGTAGTTGTTGTCGTTGTTTACTTTTATAGGATAGTAACCTGAGGATGTTCTGGACGGTATTTTCCTCACGTAAAAGAAGCAAGTCTCTGAATTTAATAAAAGAATTGGTCTAGACTACCAATTTCTGCTGGAAAGTGACCTGCGACTTTGCATTTGAGCTCAGTTAGAGTGTTCCTCTTAGACTGTTTCATACAAACTAAAGAGGATAAAGTAAAGACGCTTTGGTTTTATTCTTAGCTTGGTCGTAAAAATTAGTCCAATAACAGCCTCTAAGTTTATTTTGCAAGACCATCGTTATAAACGGGACTAGCTGGCATCTTTCAACGCTATCTAACCGCTTTGTTTTTTCCTATATTCGGTAGATTTCTCAGACCCCTCTTCATCTTGCCTGTTGGTATGGACAGGAGTCAGTTGTTAAACTTTTGTTGAAACATGGTGCGAACGTCAACGCTGAAGACAGGGTGAGTTAGTAAATGTTTTATAAATCCAACAATACATTGCCGTGAGAACATGAACGTCTTCAGTCACCGTAATAGACCAATTCCAATATATTAAAATTCATACCTAGCTGCGAGGCTTGGGAGAAAACAAAACAAATCATCTTAAGGCTCAGCAATGAATGACACATTTTTTTGTTTTATTCCCCCAAGAAATATATCGAAAATGGTCTATTTACTACAACTAGCAGACAACCACGGGACCGGGGGGTGGGGGGGGGGGAGGTAACTCAATTGTTTTCCACCTAAGTTTCTTGACCCACTCCGCCTTCCAGTCTGACGTCACATAGTAACGGGCAAGAGCCTCGGGTCGCTTGTGCAAATTAGCAAGGGATACGACAGTTATTTGGATGAGTGAGGTCGAAGAAAAGTTAAGAAGCTAGCAAATATCGCTATATATCGCTTATTGATCGAATGTGTGTGAGCTTTGGTGTTGCTATAATCTGCTTGTGTAAACCGTTTTGATATCTTGTGTCCATGATTGTATAATTTTGGTAATTTGTTTTGCGGGCCGTGTTCCGGGATCGCGATCTATTTCACGGGACCGACAAGGTCACCAAGACTTAAATCTTTTTTTTCTCTAAAATAGGCAAGGCCTAGTCTCCAGCATAGGAGGTGCCATTCACAGATCACACATGTTTTTGTTTCATCTATTCGTTTGCTAATTAAACGGGCCTAGTTTCATATCATTCCTTTCGAGTGTGGGCCTCCTGTTGATCTCCTACTTCTCCACCAAATTTAGTAAAGCTAGTTCGATCGATTATCTACATCGAGTCGGCCTGTTGAACCCGAAATAATGCGAAGTAGCTCTGAAATACGTGCTTAAGCTAATTTTCCTCAAATGTATATTTGAACTTCATGATAAAATACAGCTCCAAAAGCTTCAAAAAGCGTCTATGGCAGAGAAAAATTGTTTTGATATGACAAAATTAATTTATCAAATCATGTGTGTCACTGTGTTGCAGTGGTCAAGGAGTTGCTTGCACGTGCAGATAAACCGGGTTCGACTCCTGACCACACTGTTTTCCGTTTCTTTGTACCGTTTTTTCTTTTTTTCTGTTTGGTCTCTTTTTTTAACACTATTTTTCCTTTTAGCCTTTTTTTCTTTATTCTTACTGCTGACCCTGCTGGTCATGCACTTGGATCAATATATATTTTAAGCTTAAGTCCGGAGTTTTATTTTGGAAAAGGGATTTCAAAAGCTCTTGATCTGGCCAGGCTTACGACCAGAAAAAAAAACATAAGCTTTCAAGACATGTCCCTTGTCTAAAACAGCTGAATTTTTTTCAATGTTAGTTGACATCATGACAAACAACACACAGTACACCACAAACTGTACTAATTTACACCCAACACCCACCAGTGACCCACTGGCGAAAGTTAAACTTTCCTTTTGTACATCTTCTTAATCATCAATATTATTACCCTAAAAACTTAACTGGGTTTGCCCCAAAGGATAATTAAACGAAACCTTGTATTGGTTTTAGGGATTTAATTACAGAATTACAGGTGTATGCCCAATACAGTATTAAAATGCAGTAATGCAACAAGATTCAATGCTCACAGGCTCTCACAAATACCTGTCATTTAACTTCCTCTTTCAACGCTACAGCTAAGCGAACTTTGAGAGGAATGATATGTGGTTCCACTAGCTCTGAAGAGCTGAAAATACGCACAATGTAGAGTATAATAGATCCTTTGATGAACCTCTTATTGCTGTGTCTAAACTCGTAAATCTTGCTGTGCACTGGCCCTCAAAAGTGTGACCGGTCGGTAAGATTGCCCGTAAAATTTGCTCGACGATAGAAAGGATCTTTAAAATTCGTTACACCACTGGACATTTCATTCCAAAAAAGTACTTAAGTCTAGTTTTCTATGACAATAGAAATCTTAAAATCTCCAAAAAAATCCAAGAAATCGGAACAGTATATCCGTGACAAAATCGAAATTTTTATCCGTCTTTTCGATGAACACTTTGCAAGCCATTTTGAAAGTCACTGACACAATACTTGACGTCACACTGGCAGGCGGGCTGTACCACAGATTTCCTTGCAGACACCTCCCCCCCTCACGGGACCTCTACTTTTGTGAATATTATGCACTTCCTTCAAGGATTTTCAGAGGTCTTTTTACAAGAATGGTCCAAGTACGTTTGCCAGACTGCTTTTGGGGAGGTAGTTCGCTAGACTGCAAAACAGTCCGTATTTGTGCGTATTCAATTACGCGCGAGCAGTCAAACAAAAGGTCTGGAACAAGGCCGAAAACAGAGAGCACAAGCCCTACGGGCGTGTGAGGCACGCGCGCTTCGCGCGCGTAGGACTCTTACTGCATGCTTTACCGATTTCTTTACTGATTTTGAGAGAAAAACCGACTCTTTTGCAGTCTAGTAGTTTGCAAGTATTGAACAGAAGCAATGAGCTATGAATGCCCCCTAATGTGATTGTGAATTAGAGATAGACCACCAAACCGAGCCGGGAACTACTTCCCTCACTCTGTGTTTTTTAGCGTCGCACAGAATTTAATATATGTGTGTGTAAGGGTTGTGAGACGAAGCTTAAGGTTTATCGTCCTTATCCGAGAAGACTAGCCGTTTTCTAAAAAAAATGGTGGTAAGGCCTGAAATCCAATATGCAGCAAAAACTATGGTGATGTCATTGTCACGGGATATTTATTCCGATCGCCTAAAAAAATAAAATATATCGATTTAGCCAGGGCTAAAAGCGAAGCTCTCGATAATATTTATACTTTGTTCAAACAAAATATAAAATCGTGTAATGCTAAGCGGCGAAGGCAACGCCAGAGAACGGTGAAAAACAACAATAGGTCTAATTAGCAAAAAAGCAACTTTGCATGTGCAGCACACTTTTTTTGTACATTTCTTTGCCGTTGTTTTACACGACTACAACGTGAAACTTCCAGAAACTTCTTAGTTACACGTTTTATGGAGGAAATTTCGTACGTGTTCTCGTTCACTTTTTTTTCACTGCCGCTCATTTTCACCTTGCATTGGTGGCCGCTTGCATTTCCCATATTGTCACCGCCGCTACCAAATCGCTACAAAAGCGAAAAAACTCGGCCAGTGAAGAGAGCGAGGGAGTCTGGGGAGGATGAGGATTACGAAGCTCCGCCGCCTTCTCCCCTCCCCAGTCCATCTCTCTGCTCGCTTCGCTCGCCTATTTCCTTCCTGTTTCATCCCGTTTTTTGCCTTTTCCCCCCACTACGCAGCCTGTTCCCAGGCTAATGTTATGATGGTTTTACAATAAAGATCAATTTAAGTTCAAGAGACTCAAAGATGGAAGGTGTACCGGCAAAAAAACTGGTTCCAGCCACCTTAATGCAGGTTTCCTTGTGGTGATCGCTACCTTATGAAGACATACCGTAAATGACGCAATAAACGCTCGGGGCGTCTTTTTAATTTTATGGGTCCAAGCGGGGGCATTTAGTATATAGAAGGCGTTTATTCTCATAACTGTAACAAGCTCAACAAAACTTATATGCTTTCAGCGAAAATATCAAAAGAGTTTGAAAATAGTGGAATATCCACTCCCATGATCGTTAGTCCATCCTTACTTCAAACTTGACATTGAACAAGATGAAATTCGCAAAGCCTCGTTAATCAAGCAAGAAACTGAACAATTTAAATGATTTTGTACTTTCTTGCTAATCCCTAGTATTTTGGAGTCATTCTCATAGGGGGCGTTTATCAAGACAAGGGCGTCTAATATAATTGTAAGATCGTAGGGAGTGCCTCGTCTCCAGTCGTCTCTTATCATTTGTAGGCGGTCATGGAACGGTCTCGGAAGACTATTACGGCACTTCTGCCCCCGCGGGTATCTTCAACGCGCATCCCTCGTTAATATTTAAAATTAGGCGACAAAAGAGACGACTGGGGACGAGTCGGACGTAGAAGAGGCGTTTATTAGATAAGAGGAGCTTATTTGGAAGTGGACGTTTATTTCGTCTTTTACGGTACCGGTATTTAGAATATTCTCCTTGGTAAATAGAAAGTGGTAAGAAATACGTATTACCGTACTTGTGATGTTTTTAGTTTCAACGTACTCCTCTGCAAAATGCTGAACGTCAAAATCACCACTCCATAGTGCAGTTGTTGCGGAAGAATGATGCCAGGCTAAGTCTTCATCAACCGGTAAGATATCAGATTGTATGTCCTTCTTGCCAAACTTGTGTTTCAGATGAAATTCGCTTACATTTGTTGTATTCTTTGTTGATAATGTGGAACGTTACTGTAGGACCTATTTGTTGACGTATGAGCTTTTATCGTAGCTTATGCGGAGACCTTATATTTGTTTTTCTCTACACGATCCCTCGGTTACGCCCATCCGGTGATCACAGTATAGTGAATCTTATATTAAAAGGACACTATATATATTAAGAGGTTGAGTGGCTAGTTTTTCTCAAACGTTTTTTTTTTACTGTGAGCTTACTGTAAAACAAACTTATAAATAGTGGACGCTAGCAAATATCGCGTGTGTCCGGTTAATACCAGGTTCATCGTTCATTTTAGTTCTTAGTCATTAATGTCTATGGTTCTGGCGTTTTGTGTTACACAAATGGGCTCTTTAAATGGTTTTGGAGACACTGGGGAATTATTGTACAATCACACTAATCGATAGTTAGTTGCTTCTTGGAGCATTTAACAAGCAAAATTAAACTTGAAAAACGTTACTCGGCGTTTTGATGTATCATACATACATCATTCTCAAGAGTGAGAAATGTTAAATTTCAAAACACTGTTGTTTGGAAAGTGCATCTCAACTTTAACTATTAGACTTAATCACTAGTTAATTGAAGTCCCCATCCCCGACCCCCGGGATAGGCGGGGAATTAACGCGTCAATGCCGGGGATTTAACGCGTATTTAACAGCATCTAGTCGCCGGGGGACGAATAATTTAACACCAACCTTCAAATAGCCGGGCGTTTTAGCAGGGATTTTAACATTGCACTGGAAGTTACGTGTAGTTAGCATTGCACTGCTGATAAAGACTTGCTGATAACAGACTACTAACGCTGAAGTAAAAAATAAAGAACAGTCTGTACAGTACCGCAAATGATCCCCAACCGCAAATGATCCCGAGACCGCAAATGATCCCCAAAAAGTGATTTTATTAATAAATGATCAGTTAAACCCTCTAGTGTGTCATGTATAGAGCAGATTTTACAATTTATAGATTGCTAGCAAGATATAATCGTTCAAATGAGCAAAATCTGTCATCCCTGAAATTAACGCCTTATATCTTTTTTTATTAGAATTTCGCTCAATACATTTTTTTAATTATTATTGAATGATTGATTACGAACTACTTACACAACATGTACATTACCACATCTATAATATATAGATTTAGCCAGGGCTAAAAGCGAAGCTGCTATTAATGAATTTATAATTTAAATGAAACAATAAACTTGTAATCCACAAATCAGTTAACTTTCGTAAGGGCACATATTTTGAGGGAAAGGCTAAGTGATTCTAGAGTGAACCAAATCCTGCATCGAGTTGATAGCCTTATATGTACCCCCCCCCAATAAAGCAATCATCTTCGATCATAGTTAAGAGCCATCATGGCTCTTGATCACAGTAGATGAGGCCTAGAATTGAAAACAAATTCTTGGAAAACAAATTAGGCCGAATTTTTTTGCGTTCGACAAGTTTACTTTACAAAATCTTGCCAACTAATCTGGGTGCGTGTAAAACAACCTTTTACACTTTTTATACATCATATCGGAGGTGAAAGAGTACTATGAGGCGCTGTTTTTATCATGCAGACCTCAGACAAAATGCAGTATTTCACAATTTGTCTTGACAAATTGCATTTATTTAATATTCAGGACCATCGAAGCACGCGTGGGCTTTTAGCGAAACCGTTCAAAAAATTTCCAAAATCACCTATACGGCCAGCCGGTTCTCTCTTTTGACAAGCGCCATATTTGTCGTGAACATTAAAAGAGTCACGCTTCAACATAATAAAGAATTTATTGCATTTATTTTTTATTTCATGGTTTTATAACGATGTAATCTTAAAAAGCGTTTGATACGCGCGGCATTTTGAGGACTCCTGTTAGCGAAGTTCATGAACGACTGAAAACAAACGACAAAGCGATTAAAATTGCAAGACACTACTAACAATCAGTAAAAGAAATTTAATTCGATGAAACATTTACAGAGACAACAATTTTCATTTACGAAAACAAGTATTAAAGTGTCTCTAAGAATCCTGAGTCTTTAAGCTTAAGGCTTAATGCGTCAGTCAATTCCAGCTGCGCCCACCCCTCCCCTCCGGCTGACCCCCGGGCATTAGCATTCTTTTTTCCTTGGATGGCAAATTCCCGGGGGTGGGAACTCTTGAGTTGTCAAATCCTCCGGGGTGGGGACGAAAAAAGAGGGCAAATGCCCCGTCCTCCGTCAACACTGCAACATTTTTCATTGATTGCACAGTCGAGGAGTGCCATTTTAAGCATTTTAATATGCGATATTTTGTTTCAGTTAACGTCTTCCTTTGTAATGGTGTTATTCTAATTAAGACTTCACGCCGTGACGACACCAGTGTATGGTTTTGGTATTGTTATAAAATTATTGACATAAAAATTTATAGTTCACTGTAAAGTTAACTGCTATAAATAGTTTTATAAATATGAAAGAATGTTCTTCAAATAATGTCAAGAGAAACTTGATTCAATAACCAAAAAAGCGTTGATTCATGTCGATAGCTTCCGAGTTTCGCTAGTTAATTCTGGCTTGATAAGCAATGAAGAAATGCATGCATAAAATCGAGAGCATACCTTTACAAACCTCTTTAATTTTTTCCCGTCTTTGACAAATGAGCCAATCTGCTTGTTTTTCCAGTAAAATCCTGTGTGTAGTTATATTCTGATAGGAAACCGCGTGCGTGTCAAAAGCTCGGGGTTGGCCCCTGGGTTGGCAAATGCCCGGCCCCCGGGCAGCGCAAGATTTGCAAATGCCCCACCCCCGGGACTGACAGGGAGGGCAAATGCCCCGCAGTAGCCTGGGGGGTGGAGGAGGGGCTGGGCGCAGCTGGAATTGACTGATGCATAAGTTTAAGCTCATGTTTCAAGCCGGATTCCCGGTGTTTGCTGTAGTTTTAAAAGATGAACTCGAGGCAAGAAAATCGCTCAAAGCTTTCTTTCTACAGCCAAAATTATAACTAAATATTCGTCGGAACGTTTTTTCTTTCTATTTGCGGTGAGAAAATATCGATTAAAGGCTTTTTAAAGTTCTGTAAGCTTATATTAAACCTCATACTAGGTCAGATCAGTGTCTCAAATCTTAATACAAACGTGCATAAAGTAGCCTCGTAAACTGCGCTCGACTTCATGAATTTAGATGTAAAAAGAACAAACAAACACAAATACAATGATTACTCAGGCTTACCATTCGAGATGCAGCTCCTGAAAGCTATCAAGTAAGGCCAGAATCGCTTGAGACTTTTCAACCCTCATACTCATCCAGCAAGGTGAAAAACGAAAACGATGCCATCCGTAATCGGATTTCCGACTTTGACAAGCGGCGCATTTCTCAACCAAAAATTCAAAAAACAAACCAGCCATGAATAACAGAAGACTCTTGATAGCAGTTGTATTTCATTTTGGACATCCAGTGGGAAAAGACAGTTAAAAACATCACAAGTTGACACAAAACTCTGTCAGCCTCAGCTGTCAAAGTAAACAAGTTTCAAGATGCTGTATAAATTTTCCGCATGAACTCACCTGTCAAATTTTGACCAATCAAAGCATAAAAATTGGACGTCGAGCGTGACCAACGCGTGACTATGGTGAGAAAAGTGAAGAGCATCTGTCTTCCCTGCTTGCAATTTTAAATAACTGAGGTCGCGTCCACAACATATTTCATATGATTTTTTTAAAAAAAATTCTTGAGCCTGCGATCATTTGAAAACTAGTAACTTGCCAGCGGTAAACTTAAAAAAATACTCGACCTGGATGAAGTGTGAGAGTAAACATTGGTATGTCTGTGGTTCGGACGGACGGTCGGCGGGCGGTCGGTATACGGGCACGTGATTACCAAATTTTCTGAGATGGGTAGATTTACTTACCAATGGTGCTCTGCTGGCATGCGCGAGAGAGCTCCGCTATCAATAAAGAACTACTACAGATACATAAAAGACACTACCTACGTATGATACTAATGCAGTACAACCAGAAACTCATAAGAGGTTTCTGATACAACACAATTTAGGTACTACCATAGACTTTCTCAAAGACCTTGGCTTCTCATTTCCGGTTCCGGTAGTTGGCCCCAGCGCGAAGGACTTTTATCCCCTGCAGCGCGCCAGATTTACAGAAGGAATTTTCCTCCTGTAGGTTTTATCCAATCACAAACGATTTACTGATGCGCCGTCAATCAAACCCGATCACGCCACATGAAACGTGAGTTGCAGTCTTGCACTGTTAACTGTGTTTTTTTTTTTTGCGGTCTGTTTTTCGATTTCGTTTTATCGCCTGTATTCAAATACAAAGCTTTAGTAGGCGTTTTATCTTCCTCTATTTGAGTACTTTATCAAGGTCGAAGTTTCCTGGCAACCACGGAGCGAAAAAACATTACCAACTTGTCTTGTTTTAAGCGCGCGCACTACAAAGTTTTTGTTTTTTTATGTTTTGTTCCATGGGGTATGCAAACCTATCAACGTGCCCGAAACGTCTGCAGACTGAACTCACAAATATCACAGACGGCACTTTTGTTCATTACCCGTTTTTTGTATTGAACATTCCTTTATTTACTTTATTAACTTTCTCTTATCGGAATTTTTTTCCGTTATTTGTTTGTTTTGAGATACTTTGACAGCTCGCGACGACACACGCAACAGGGACGCAAATAGTTCGCGCCAAAATGACGTCACTTGATGCGATTTTTTGTAGGGGAAACAAGTCGAGCTCTCACTCTCTCGCTCGCTTTTGCCTGAGAAAACATAAAAAATCTAACGCTCGCACTTCGCGCTCGTGAAAAAATTTGAGCTCGAATTAAGTTCTTTTCACAAAAATTGAATCTTCTCAGGTCTTTGTATTTCTTACCAATTAAAGCGAGAGCTGATTTTTATTTCAAAGTGTTTTTGCCATCAGTTACCTATGGGTTGGTTGTACGGGGTTCCTGCGGCAAATCGCTCTTTGATGAGCTGGAGAAGATACATGTACGTGCCGCAAAGATCATCTATGGCCTGGATTAGTACACACCCAGCGATCAGGTCTTAGCCCAAAGCAAGTGGCCCACTGTTAAAGATTTATACGAATATAGATGACTTATGTTAGCACACGACTGTTTTTGTAACTTTTTACCTGTTCCTTTTATGAAGCTGTTTACGAAATATGAGTGCAATTATAACCTGCGAAGGAAATTGACCCTTTTGTTGCCAAAACCAAACACTGAAGGTCTTCGCAAGTTCACTTGTTACAAAGCCGAATCTCTGTGGAATTCGCGTGCAATCTCAAGCAAAAGCGTACCGTATTTATTCGATTAACCGCCCTGGGCGCTTATTAAATTTTTGGACCTTGAGAGTGGGCGCTTATTCGAGGTGGGCGCTTATTCGAGGCTGGGCGCTTATTAAATTTTCACCATTTTCAGCAAGTGAAGTAAGTCTATTTTGCAACAAAACAATAAATGCTAATAACAAAACGCGAAGAAGTAACAAAGCAAGGTTAACTGTAAAATACTCTGAAGAAAACTCTGTCCTCGGGGAAGTCTCTTATTAGAATTTATTCACTCAAGTGGGTGGGGTGGGGGTGAGCGCTTATTTGAGTTTGATTGGGAGGAGGAGGGGGTGGGCGCTTACTCGAGGCTGGGCGCTTATTAACTTTTTCTGCCTTTAGGATGGGCGCTTATTCGAGGTGGGCGCTAATTCGAGGTTGGGCGCTTATTCGAATAAATACGGTATTTGAAAACTCTCTTAAACGCAGAACTTCATGCTAATAGTTTAGTTTGAAGATATATTTCTTTCAAATGGGTTAGATCTTTTTCTATATATATATATTTTTTTAATTAGTTTTTAAGCTTTTTATTCATTTGTAAACAGTGTTCAATTTTTAAATACACGACCAAATCAGCTCCGCTGTAACTTTATCGAGTTTAAATAAATGTTGTTGTTGTTGTCTTAGTGTAGAGTGCGCTTGTCGCGCATTTAAACAAAGCAAACCATTTATGAAAAACGTCATTTGGTGAAAGGATTGGAATTGTTATATAGGTAACGGCTGGCACGAATCAAACTCATCACGACGCAGGTTTATTGTCAGATCTTTATATTACTTTACACAGTTTCGATGCCTCTTTTCAGTGCATGGGATGCCCTGGAATACTCTTCCTCAATACAAATAAACATAATTAAAATGCTCGAATGAAGACAAAACCACTTTTGTTTGCTAAGGATTCTGTGTTTGGTTATAGGGTATTGCCTGTCAATTTGTTATTCTTATCCTGTGAGTCCAGGATGAGATTGGGGAGAAGCCGGGATTACATAGTTATAATGAAGGGGTTTCTGCGGTAGCACAAAGTAATGTGAATAAGTGAGCGTAAAGCTACGTGAAAAGGGACGCAACAACTCCCAACATTGTTGGGTCAACAATGTTTGGAATTGTTACGTCCGTGTTGGAAGTAGTATGCAAACGGACGCAAAATGTAACATCCAACAATGTTGGGAGTTTTTGACCGTTTGCACGGGGCCGAAAGGTTGCAGACTGATAAAACTGGCTTTTATCAACTTGATTATCAGTATGCCTGATATGATTACAGTTTGGTTGAAGGATGTTATTTTTTTATAGGCGTCGAAAGGTTCCCTGCACAGGGCTGCTGTAAGTGGACAACACGAGACGGTCAAAGAGCTTCTTGAGAGTGGTGAAGATGTGTATCAAAGTGACGAGGTATTAGTCTTCTTTAGGTTATGTAAATCTAATGTTTTGCCCGACCTCTCGCGTTCCATTTACTTGCGGATTCTTTTTGTTCATAGTGAATAACAAAATTGGGCGAACGGTTTGAAACGCCCTTAAATAATAGTCCACTGATCAAATTAAGGGAATTTGAAATGTCTTGGCAACAAGAGTTGCACAGAGGGATGTTATTCTCATGAGGCGAGTAATTAAGGGAAAAACAGGAATTCGCCAGTCAGATTGTGTGAGCGATAATTCGTTAAATTCAAGTTAAAATCTCCTACTTTTTTTACTAAACTTGTTTTCTCTAGTTATTTTAGCCAAAATTGTACTAAAATATCGGCGGCTGCAGTGAGACTACCCAGTCTTTTGGAAACATATAATTTGCTGTGTCATGCAATGCATTTTCTAGAACTACATCGTTGACATTCTTTTATACCCTACGTTAAGATAGCCCCATCAAATGATGCTTAAACTGTGGAATCTCGCGGACTGCATTCAATGGCTATATTCATTCGTTAGTGAGACGGGAAAAGACGGGTCGCAAGATTATCGTGCGCCCGCCTAATTCGCTTGCTCTTACTAGTTTACCTTGAGAGAGCCTGAAGAGACCACTCCTAGTCAGTTTGAGGATTATTTGAATGAAGGTTTTTAAATGGCACAATCCGACTATATGGAAAGATTGCAGGCATATCTTTAGCGCTTCCAAAGCTAAGATGTCATGAGGCAATAAGCTATGTAATTATTTTTTGTTGTGTGCAGCGTAGTGTATATGCCACTTAATCCTGGTTTTTGTTTCATTAAAATTTCAAAAGCTATAGCGTATACTCAATGGTACATCAAGTCACGTTCTACCAGCCAAACGCAACTAGTTTTTATTGCTTCCTGCAGATGAGCCCGTTACCGCGTCCTGATCGGAGACCTTCTCATTCTGGCTCAGAATCACCAAAGGAGCGCGAAGAGGAAAGCCAGGTAGGTTAGGCTCGGTTCAAACGTCGAATTTCACATGTGCCGAACTTAATAGCGAGAGTTAAATTCATGTGAAGTGCGACTGTCTATATTAAATGCGACGTTTGCCGTATCTGCGACTGAAACAGTCGAAGATTAGACTTAGGTTCGACTTTTGATTCAAACGTCGCATTTCACCGACCCGAGCCGAGCTTAATGCATGAATTTTAGAAAATTATTATTACATTACTGGGAATATTGACGGCGAACAGAGTTAAATTCGACGTTTGAATCAAATGCCGTATTTAACTATTTCAGTCGACTCAAATAGGAATTAAGTTTGACCCTTGTGAAATTCGACGTTTGAACTGGGCCTTAAGAACGTTTTTGAAGGTTGTACTGTTGTAAACTATGTAACTGTTACCATGTGTATGTTACAAAGAGTGTGCTTCTAGATTCGCTCGTATAAAGGGGAACTATTATTATATGTCAAGTATGTCTAATGCCGTCACTGAAAACCTCTTGTCGGTAAGATTTGGTGAGAATGTTTTTACCTCTTGCTTAAAGAATAATTAATATGCTTTTGATAATTAAAACGTTGTAGTCCCCGTGGGACACCGATCTATGAACAGTTTATAAGGCAAAATTTTGGCTGTGCTACATCTTTAAAAACGCTCATATTTCGTCTTTTTTAGAGGCGATTTAGATGAAACTTTACAGAGACATTGTGGAATGATGGAAGTTTAGAGTGGGTGTTTTTTTATTCGCTAGTTCGCGCCTTAAGGCAATGCTTTAAGCTAGAGTTACACCAAACTGGAAAATTGTGATTTTGTGTCCAAGTTTGCGTAAAGAATAGAAGACAGCACTCTGAGATTTTATTAATAAATGATCAGTCAAACCCTCTAGTGTGTCAAGTATAGAACAGATTTTACAATTTAAAGATTGCTTGCAAGATATAATCGTTTAATTGAGCAAAATCTCTCATTCCTGAAATTAACGCCTGATATCTCTTTATAAAAGCACTCTTTTAGAATTCCGCTCTATATATTTTTTCCTTATTATTGAATGATTGATTACGAACTACTTAAATAACATATACATTACCACATCTATATCAATAAAGAACTACTACAAATACACAAAAGACACTACCTACATATAGTACTAATGCAACTATTACTACTATTACAAACACAAGAAGCAAGATGTATTTTATTCCCACCACCACGGCAGAATAACTGAGATTTTTTCCATTTACATTCTCAGTCGGCTGCTTTGTTATTTTGTTTCTTTTCTGACTGGTGAACATGACTGACTTTATTTTAAAAAAATTGCAAAGGAAGGATAAGTACATTAATTACGGCATTGATAAAATATGTCGCTTAGTTACGACTAACATGTGATTAATAAACAAGTAGTATTCTTTCTTTTTCCAAAATCCAAAAGTATGTCGCTGTTTGAAAGGTCCCTTAAGATTATGTTCAGTTTATTACATCAACATATAATGAACAAGCCGCTACGGAGCGTACACTTCGGCGTCGTGGTTGTGGAACTGATTAATTGTAAATGCGGAGGAATAGTAAGAAATGAAATATGGTAAGAGTAAGGTGTTAATTTGTGAAATTATGGGATTTGTCAGGATATTCTGAAAAGAGCAACATCCAAGAGGCTTCTTGCCAAAAACTAGCATTTCGGGACAAATTGTCTCTGAGATATTAGCCCAGTTATGCTCTGATGACTCCATACATATCTTTCTAAATTTGACTTGGGTCTAAACGTTTAGACCTAAGTCAAATATGAGGTTACTGGCGGTGAATAACAAGTCTAACAAAACAAACAGTGAAAAAAGAATTCTCTATTTTTCTTAGTCACATCAGGCTTCAAAAACAGCATAGCAGTCTCATGTACTGATTAAAGATATGTAAGGCATGGGTAAGGAGTCAATTACGTTGAGCATGGAATTGGCTGTTACGAGTTCGAATGTTTTGAGGATAATTATTAACTGACTATCAGCACGCAGGAATGTCGGATTAACACAAGGGAGTTTAATACCAAAGGAACATAGCCTTTTCAGAGCTTTAAAACACAGCATCCGCCAACACAAACTTGACTTGAACGTAAGTACAATTGAACAGCCTCTACCAATAATAACAAACTCTCACTTGAACTTCAGATATCTTAAGGCTTCCGCCAACTTGTAAACACAGAACTTGAAAATCGACCTTCGTCACACTTGACTAAACACAGCAGTCCAGCTAGTGAGAAAAAAAACTTAGTTCGTCAAAAGACCTCTCTTGGAACTTGTATACCGTTTGACATAAGGTTCTAGAAAATACCTAACGGGCGAATAGTAGTAGCTTTTCGACATATTTTATGATTTCAGTAACTGATGCAAATCTGCTGACTCATGCTGAAATGTAAACATGCCCTAATTAATTATTCATGAATAATCCAAAAAAGTAGAGAACGTTCGAGAAAGTCACGCAACACATGAAAGCAATTTTCCTACGTAACACTGAACAAAGACAAAATGTCTTTGTGTAGCATTTTGTAACTTTAAATTCATCATGAAGTAGTTCGAAAGGAGGGCTCACTCGTGAAATGTTTTTAAACACTCGAAGAGAAATTTCGCGTCTCGGCGAGGCCACGTAATATCCTCTATTTATTCCTCGAGTAAATTACAGACTAAACTCGAAGTGATCTCAAGATATCACAAAGTAGTCCGGTTTCATTTCGTGAAATAGCCGAAACAAGCCGAAAAGTCGCGAACTTGCACGCCCAATCTTGTCCCGAAACTACAGTGGAACCCCGTTAATACGACCACCTTCGGGCCATGGAAATTTGGTCGTATTAATGGGGTAGGGTCAAATTATGGTGCAAAATGCTTTTAAACTACATTCTACTACATGTATACCTTTAATTCGTTATAAATCAACCTTTTTGCAGTTAATTAACAACCTTGCAACCGCAATTCAATGCAACTGAACAATGTAACAGTAAACGAAACCGAGTTATGAGAAAAAACACTGACTTCTTTCAGTTCCTTGTTATGAAAGGAAAGGGCTTGTGATTTGTCTCGAAGAGCCGTTTTCTATATTGTAGCTTACAACACTTTCACAATTATTACAAAGTTCAAAGTTCTGGGAGAAAAGAAAAGGAATTGGACTTGAAGAAAAAAGCCACAAACCGGATGTCATACTAACCACTAGCACCTTTGCCTAAAAACATTCAATTAAATATTAGTAATGGGTTATTGTTTGTCAGATTGTGTCTATTTTCATTCAGCAGCCTCACCAAGCATTTTGACTGGTCGTATTAACGGGGTAATTTTATAAAGAAAATAACGACTCAGGACCCCCAAAGGTGGTCGTTGGTCGTAATAACGGGGTTGTTGGATTAACGGGGTTTTCAGATAAGAAAATGAGTGGGCTTTTGTTCGGGCCACAAAAAAGAGGTCGCAATAACGGGGTGGTCGTATTAATGGGGTGGTCGTATGGCGGGGTTCCCCTGTAGTGCAAAAATTTCATAACAATTTTTCATATCCCGAACTACCTTGGGTCGCAGTAGCGCAATCGGCTAATCCCTCAACTAAGAGTCTCCTCTGACCTGACGGGTCACACAGGTGAGTCGGTTCAAACCCCGGGGAAGCCAAAATAATAATTCTTTCTTCCTTGAAAGAGTTAAAGAAATCGAAGTGATCTCGAGATATCTCGAACTAATTCGGCTCTCAATTCGTCGAACAGCCGAATAAAACCGAAAACCTGCAGACTTTGCATGCCCAATCTTGTCAAAAAATGGTAACTTTGATACATTCCTGAGTGTCGCGAATCCTTTACTTCGCGCTCCGCCGAAGTAACAAGACGCTATCGAAGCGTACACTTGGGCGTCGTTGTTTGGGGGATTTTTTGGTGTGTCAGGCACGTGTGAGGGCCGTAGTGTTGTTAATCGGGTTAGTTGAGATGGGTTGAAATAGAGACGTGGAGTCATAGTGTACCTTTCTTGGTATGTAAATACAGTCGAACCTCCACTAAAGGAAAATGTTTCTATTTTCAATACTGTAAGAGATGGTTGCATCGCTATCATAATGGCTCAGTCAATTCTAAGCGTGTCCCTTCCCCCAAAGGCATCACTCAAGTGCTGGCATCTCCTTTGGCTCTCGACATCTGAGCTAGAGCAAACAAACCCTCGTCTATATCCTTAACCATCAATTTCAATCACTCTTGCGAGATTTACCTGCAATTATCGGAAGAAATCGCTCCGTTTCTATGTAAAAAACAACCTTCCTCCAAACTGTAAAGTATTCCTGTGTACGTGTTGCTCTAAAATGTCGAAAATGCTTCGCTATAATTTCGACTTAAGTTAAACTTATCGAAAAAACAGTTCTAAAACAGTAACAATTCTTAACAAAGGGGAAATTTTGGAGCACAATATAGTTCCAGTTTTTGTGTTTTTCCTTTATTTTATTATTACTTGGGCGGTGCGCCAAGTAAAGGATTCGCAACGCTCAGGAAAGTTCCAAAGTTGCTTTTTTGTGGACAAGCTTGGGCACGCAAAGTCCATAGGTTTTCGTTTTGAGTCGGCTTTTTAACGAAGTGAGAGTCGAACAAGTTCAAGATATCTCGAGATCACTTCGAGTTCTTTGATTTATTCTTTTACTTATTCGAGGAATTAAAAAGAAGCGACTTTTTAAAACATTTAGGTATGAATAATTGCGTAAAAACGTTTCTTTAAAACAGTTAAGAAATTTTTGAAAAGTTAAAAAGTATATACGACGCTTAGACTTTGTCGGACGTCATTATCATTTACCAAAAAATGACAGAATTAATGTTCTATAAATAGAAGAAAAACAATAGTTTAAAAAGAAAAGTAACACATAAAGATATGTTACAAGTTAAACAAAGAGCTTAGCACTATCACGTAACTAACTAACATCAGTACACTACATTACAAAACTAGCTGAAAATGCACAATCTCCACACCGCAGATAATTCATGTACAACATCGCAACATAAATTAGAAATACGTATCTCGCAATAACCCTCGAGAAACACGGTATCTTAGTAGCGCCACTCAAGTTAAGCCATGTCAGGCGGGGTTAAGAACTGGATAGGTAACCCACCGCGAACATTGTCGTGAAGGTCCCTACTTTATTCTTTCTTTTCTTTTTCTTCTTTTTTGCCTATTGTGTGGTGTTATTTTTGAAAGTGTATTGAAAAGCATATGTATCATTATTTCGACCGCTGGATTTAGAAAAAAAAAAAACACGGCAGTACAGTTCTCGGGTCGTAGTATAGAACTGAAACTTTGATCTATCGGCGGGGAATTTAAAGGGGAAACTAATAAATTTGGGTTTTTCACGATGTAAAACGAATTCCAAGCTAGATTTCAGGGGGAAAAGACAGGATTTCGACGGTAAAAGCCAAACTGAAACGCACTTTGGAAAAACATAACAGGACATAAGCAAATTCGTCTAAGAAGTGAGACGCATTGAAAATTGCTCTTGTATCTCGATTTTCGCACGTATTTTGAAGCTACTAGCCCAAACTGCTCAAATGTTTTCTGTAAAATATTTTGGCATTCAATATTTCCATCCAGAATAATACATCAAAATCAATCAAAAAACGCGAAGATATCTCGAGCTAATTCCGAAGCAATTTCGGGACATCTAAATTTACAAAAAAGTGACTGAACAGTGTGCGAAAGCCGGCAAACACCTTGGCTTTGTGCACCACACAAAGTGTGGCTTTGTGCACCACAAAGTGCACTCGCCCTACGGGCTCGTGCACTTTTGTTGGTCTTTGAAAAATTTACTCGTGCTTGTTTATTCCAAATTGCACTTGAAAAAAAAGTATAGGTAATCAAATGATTTCAAATCATGTGGTTACCTATACTAACAGAAATATTTTTCTGTTCGGCTGAGCGTAGCGATAGAGAATAGAAGTATATTTTCTTTGGGGAGTGCTGAAACTGGCGATATAATCAAGCAGGAATGTAACGAGGCAGCCAATTGTAAATCAAAGACTTTTTACCAAGGAATTTTATATAGGTTTTGGACCTTGTATTTCATAATAGTAACCTGAAGAAGGGCCATGTTAGATACCACTTAAAACAAAATGCTGAATAGGGAGAGTTGCTAGTTAGCTCTAAATTGGGTGGAAGTTTTATACCAAATAAATACCAGTAGTCGCACAATAAGTCAATTTCTATTTATTCATTTATCTATTGCTGAAGATAGCCTCACCTAATGATTCTTATACTGTGGGATCTAATAGGCTGCATTCAATGGTTATATTCATTGGTTCGTGAAACAGGAAAAGACGGGTTGCAAGTTTCTTATGCTCTAGTTTAACTTGAGAGAGCCCGAAGGGACTAATCTCAGTCAATATTTTGAGAACGTTTATAAATAGCACAATCCGACTATATTATCGAAAAGTTGTTGGCATATCTTTAACGCTTCCAAAGCCGGATAATGTTATGGGATAATCAGCCATGCAATTATTCTTGTTGTATGCTGTGCAGTGAATATGCCACTTTGTCCTGGTTTTTGTTTCATTAAACTTTCAGAGGCTAGGGCGCATAGTCAGTGGTAACTTCAAGTCACGTTCTACCAGCCGAACGCATCTTGTTTTCATTACATCCTCAGATCGTCTCGTTGCCACGTCCCGATCAGAGACCTTCTGATTCTGGCTCAGAATCACCAAAAGAGGGCGAAGAAGAAAGCGAGGTAAGTTAAGAACGTTTGAGAAGGTTGTACTGTTGTAAACTATGTAACTGTTACCATGTGTCTGTTATAAAGAGTGTGCTACTAGATTCTCTAGTGGAACTTTGAACTCTCGTGGAGTTCAAAGTGGAAATAATATTATATCTTAAGTATGTCTAATGCCGTCTAACTGGAAACCTCTTGTCGGTAATATTTGGTCACAATGTTTTACCTCTTGCATGAAGAATAATTAATGTGCTTTTGATAATGAAATTATTTAAGGCCGCGGGGACACCGATCTATGAAGAAATTCATAGGGAAAAATTTGGTCTCTGCTGCATTTTTTAAAACACTTATATCCCAGCTGTTTTAGAAGCGATTTAAATAAAACTTTACAGGGACATTGTGGAATGTTAAAAGTTTAGGGTTGGTTGCACCAAATTGGGAAATCGTGATTTTGTGTTCAAGTTTGCGGAAAAAATAAAAGACAGCACTCTGTGATGTTATTAGTAAATGATCATTCAAACCCTCTAGTGTCATGTATAGAGCAGGTTTTACAATTTAAAGATTGCTAGCAAGATATAATCGCTTAAATGAGCAAAGTCTGTCATCCTTGAAATTAACGCCTTGTATCTTTTATGAAAGCGCTCTTTTAGAATTCCGCTTTATACATTTTTTATTATTATTGAATACTTTACCACATCGATATCAATAAAGAACTACTACAAATACATAAATGACACTACCTACATACAATACTAATCAGTGGCGTATCCAGGGGAGGGGCCCGAGGGGCCTGGGTACCCCCTTATATTTAGACCAAATTGAGGCCCGAAAGGCCGAAAAATATTTTTTTGGCTTCTCCCCCCTCTTATCTCAGGGTCTGGTTGACCCCCCCCCCACCCCACCCCTCTTATCTGAAGGTCTGCATCCGCCACTGCTAATGAAGTACAACAAAATTTAGGTACTACTACTACCACTATTACAAAAATAAGAAACAAGATGATTGAATTTTAATTCTCACTTAGCACAGCAGAATAACTGAAACTTTTCTCATTTACATTCCTAGTCGGCTAAGTATTTCTTATTTGATTTCTTTTCTAACTGATGAACATGACTGACTTTATTTGAAAAAAATTGTAAAGGAAGGAGAAGTGCATTAATTACTACATTCATAAACGTGTCGCTTACCTACGACTAACATGTGATTAATAAACATTTAATATTCTTTCTTTTGCCAAAATCCAAAAAGTATAAACATGTAGGAAGTGGTATGCAAACGAATTTAACCCCAGCAAACACGCAGCAACACGGAACAGGGTGTGTAAACGGGCGCAAAATGTAACACCCAACAACGTTGGTTATGTTGGCCGTTTGCACGTGGCCAAAAGGTTGCACTGATGAAACTGGCTTTCATCAACTTGATATATGATCACAGTTTGGTTAAATGATTTTTTTTTACAGGAGTCGAAAGGTTCTCTGCACAGGGCTGCTGTAAGTAGACAAGACGAGATGTTCAGAGACTTTTTGGAGACTATTGAAGATCTGGATCTAAGTGACGAGGTATAAGTCTATTTCAGTTTATGTAAATCTAATGTTATGCCCGGCCTCTTGCGTTCGCTTTACTTGCGGATTCTTTTTGTTCATAGTGAATAACAAAATTGCGCGAACTGCTTGAAACGTCAGTGAATAACAGTTCACTTATCAAGTTAAGGGAATTTCGAAATGTCTTGTCAACAAGAGTTGCACAGTGGAATGTTATTCTCGTGGGGCGTGTTATTAAGGGAAAAACAGGCGGGAATTCGCCAGTCAGATTGTGTGAGCGATAATTCGTTAAATTCAAGTTAAAATCTCCTACTATTTTTACAAAACTTGTTTCCTCTAGTTATTTTAGCCAAAATTGTACTAAAATATCGGCGTCTGCAGTGAGACTACCCAGCCTTTGGGAAACATATAAATTGTTGTGTCATGCAATGCATTTTCTACAACTACATCGTTGATATTCTTTTATATCCTACGTTAAGATAACCCCATCAAAAGATACTTGTACTGTGGAATCTCACGGACTGCATTCAATGGCTATATTCATTCGTTAATAAAACAGGAGAAGTCGGGTCGCAAGATTCTCGTGCGCCCGCGTAATTCGCTTGCTCTTACTCTTACTAGTTTACCTTGAGAGAGCCAGAAGGGACTACTCCTAGTCAGTTTGAAGACTATTGAAATAAACGTTTTCAATTGGCACAATCCGACTATATCGAAAGGTTGCTGGTTTCTTCCAAAGCTATTATGTCATGAGATAATAAGCTATGTAATTATTTTTGTTGTGTGCAGCGTAGTGTATATGCCACTTGTTCCTGGTTTTTGTTTCATCAAAATTTCAAAAACTATCTCGTTTACTCAATGGTACATCAAGTCACGTTCTACCAGTCAAACGCATTTAGTTTTTATTACATCCCGCAGATCGCACCGTTGCCGCGTCTCGATCGGAGACCTGATTCTGGCTCAGAATCACCAAAAGAGAGCGCGAAGAAGAAAGCGAGGGAAGTTAAGAACGTTCGGGAAGGTTGTGCTGTTGTAAACTATGTAACTGTTACCATGTGTTTGTTATAAAGAGTGTGCTTCTAGATTCGCCCGTACAAAGTGAAACTATTAGGGAACTTAAGAACCACGACGACGACTTCGTCGACGACGACCGGAAGTGAGATACCGTGCACCGCGCAAGCGCGGTTAACAAATTTCGTCGTCGTGGTGTGGTCGACGACGCCAAACACAGTAGAGTCACGTCGTCCTGCAGTCCACAAGCTTCGTCAGGTATAACTCCCTGTTTTTAAGCGATTTTTCAAGGGCTTTGTATTTTTTCACCTCGTAAATCCAGGTATCCTTTCTTTTTTCGGCTAACAAGCGATGTTGATTGAAAATTTGACTGATGAACTGTGTTTACTTCGAAGACAGCACTGAGCTGTGCAGGCCGAGCGAGCGAACTCGTAAGTGACAAATTTATTTGTACGTATTTAGGTCAGCCAAATCACATATCCTTAATATAGAGGAAATGAACTTTATATGGAAAACAGCTATCGCATCGGAATGTCTCTTTTTCCAAATCTAAACTCTGACAGACAATCGGACTCGGTCATGTCATTCAGGTTGAAAGTTGAATAACCTTCGTACGGAAAGCAGAGATTTTTCCATTCGAAAAGGTCAGACAACACTAAGAATTCTTCATCGTCAATGAAAGTAGACGTACGGCTGATAAAATAAGATCTTGCATCGTCTTAAAAGACGCCTTTGCGAAAAACTTTGTTGCCAACGAACATTACAGTTGTACTACTTCGACATGTTTGTTTACATTGAGTGTCGTCGTCGTCGTCGTCGACCTACCGATCGACTGCATCTTAACTTTCCTTTTTCCCGCCGAAACTGACGTTCTCGTTCCAGTCCTTTCCCAGTCAACAGACGTCGTCGTCGTGAACTTCGTCGTGGTTCTTAAGTTCCCTATTATTACATCTCAAGTGTGTCTAATGCCGTCAATGAAAACCTTTTGTCGGTAAAATTTGGTGAGAATATTTTACCTCTTGCATAAAGAAGATTAATATGCTTTTGACAATTAAATTGTTGAAGTCTGCGGGGGACACCGATCTATGGATGATTTATAAGGCAAAATTTTGCCTGTGCCTACATCTTTAAAAACGCTTATATCTCGGCTTTTTTAGAGGAAATTTAGATGAAACTTTTCAGGGACATTGTGGAATTATGGAAGTTTAGGGTGGTTGTTTTTTTATTTGGTAGTTCGCGCCTTAAGGCAATGCTTTAAAGCCACAGCTTATACTACGTAATAGCAAGTCACGTTCAACTGGCCCAAGGCAACTAATTTTTATTACATGTTACAGATCTTTCCGGGGTTCGGTCTCCCAGAAAGGCATTTCAGCGACATTTCCAGTACAGCTGATTCTGGTTGCCATTCATCAATAACGGAGAAAACCAGAGAGGTATGTCAAAAGCGTTTAGGAAGGTGTCTGGTAGTTTAGGTAATTTTTACAATGTTAGTGCTCACTTATTTATATTTACTTTTATTTTATTTTATTATTTATTTTATTTGTATTGTATTTTATTTTCTTCTTATGCGCAGGTAAAAATAGAAAAAAATTATATCGGCGCTAGGCAAGTGTAGTTATTCCGAGAAAAGCGCCCTCGTGAAAGCGATTTATAATCTTGTCGCGCGCAAAGTGCTCTTCCGCGCTGGTCTTAGCGGCGTTGGACTGCGAAATTGCCTGGTTCTTGTGTATTTGTTAAGGGCTATATATCGGTCACTTCCGGTTGGTATCCGCCTTGACGTCATCCGCTTGACGTCACGCAGCAGTTGTGTTTCCAGGCAACATTTAAACATTCGATAGCCTTGAAGCTATTTTTGGTGCACTACCATGTTTCACTCACGAAGGGCTGATGCTTTATTCATCGTCTGTGAAATAATGTTACTATCAGTGAATCACAAGCAACTTCTCATGCAAATATCACGGAGCGGCAAACGCAAGAAGAGCAAACGCAACAACGGTGGAACATTGAAGCAATTCGGGCCAGTGTTTTAAAAAAATAAAGAGCGAAAATCAAGCTACAAGAGCAATTTTCAATGCGTGTCACTTTGCAGACAAGCTTGATGCCTTATCAATATGTCGCGCAGTGTTTCTCCAACGTGCTTTTCAGTTTGGCTTTTTAAATACCGTCGAAACCTTGTCTTTTTTCAGGCTGAAGTCTAGTTCGGAATTCGTTTTACACTGTGAAAAATTTATTAGTTTGCTGGTTTCCCCACCGATATATAACACTCTTCTCTCAAAAGTCAGCTCTACTTCTTTGTTTAACAAACACATTCAAAATTTCCTCATTCTGTTATATAAGAGTTTGTTTTTCACTCATTTTCCTACTTATATGAAGAATATGTTTTCACTCCGGTCCTCTTCCTATGATCTTCGTGGCAACTACATTCTTTCACTAAGTAAACCTAAAACAACTACCTATGGTCTTAACTCCTTTTCTTACTTTTCAGCAAAGCAGTGGAATGCACTGCCGGACTTTTTTCGTACCAGTTTTTTTGCAGACTTTGAGAATAAAATACAGGATGTTACCTTCATGTAGATTCTATTTGCCTGACATACTTAAACTTAAAATTGTGAATTGTAAATGATATTTTCTTTCCTTGCATTTAATGTATATATATATTTTCTATATAGTTTTTCTGTGGTGTCAACTCGAAAATATTAGCTTGTTAGCTACTCTAAAATTCGAGTATAAATAAAGTTTTATGTTATGCGTGGCAGGCGTTTGAAAGAGTAGCGAAGTGGAGTTTAAGGCAAGAGAGAAACGTGAGGGCCGGGGCGCGCGAGGAGGGAGGGAAGGAAACGCCTGCCAGGAAACCATTGTTTTCGCCATTCGGCCTAATAATTATGTATGCAAAAATAACGCAGCTGTGAATGACCTAGCTGTCAAATAAGTCTGGTCGCGATGCACTAATTTTTAGCTTTTCTTTTCCCTCCCTCCTCGCGCGCCTCTCGCGGTGGGTCACCCATCCAGTTCCTAACCCCGCCCGACAGGGCTTAATTTAAGTGCTACAACTAAACCGAGTTTCTCGGGGGTAACTGCGAGATACGTTTTTCTAGTTATTGTTGTTATTATTATTATTATTATTATTATTATTATTATTATTGTTATTATTAGAAGTAGTAGTAGCAGTAGCAGCAGCAGCACTAGTTGTAGCGGTGGCGGTGGCAGTGGTGGTGGTGGTCGAAGAGGGAACTTGAGCTAGTACTGTGCGTAACAAAATTTATAGTTTTCATTTTAGCGCAAATTAAAAGCTCGTCGCAAGATTAGAAACAAAAGATCATCTTGTTACATTACAAGTGGGTTTTTTTAAGCTATTGATAGGCTTTAAGAGGCACCATCAATTTTTAAGAATTTTCTTTTCAACTATTCACCGAATTTTGTTTGGAATTTTCAGCACCCAAGTGGCTGAACCATTACGCACTTACGCAATTATTACTCTGCTCCGTTGCATTTACCCAATTAATTTATTCCATAATCTAACTTATCTATAAACAAACTATGTTTAGTTAAAATGGCTTACTCTAAATCGATGTGGTATGGGTGATATTGACCTTCCAATTTCTACCAAAGTTGTGTACCTTTTAAGCACCGAGAAAGTGCTGTAAGAAGTTATAGCCGTTCTTAGCTCAGGCTTGACCATTGTCGGATAAAAGTAGGTAAATAAAAAGTTTAAGGATAGTTCTTTGCAACTAAATGAGTCACCATTAAGTTTTTTTAATGATAAAGCTAGAATTAATTATTGCAAACCTTCTTCAGTTCACCAACATCGCGGCCCTTCAATGCCACGTCAGAACTGTCATTCCTGTATCTTTGAAACCAAAGAGAATTCAAACCTTATAGAATACGCATTCAGTATTTAGGACACCATTCTAAGACTACATGCCAAAAATCAGCCAATTCGATGAGGTAGCGTGTCAGGCCGAAGTTCGAATTTTACAGAAAATCACTCTTAAAGATTCGATACCCTTGAAGCTATTTTTGTTGCACTCTCATGTTTCACTCATGAAGGGCTGATGTTTTATTCATCGTCTGTCAAATAATGTTACTATCAGTGAATCACGAGCAACTTTCCATGCAAATATCACGGAGCCGTAAACCCAAGAAGAGCAATGGTGGAACATTGAAGCAATCTGGGCCAGTGTTTCAACAATTAGAGCAAAAATCAAGATACAAGAGCAATTTTCAGTGCGTGTCACTTCACAGACAAGTTTGCTTATGAATACAGCTATTTTGAGAAAGGTTGTCGGGAAAAGTGCACGCAACAATCCTGAAAGGCATTGTTGGTGGTTTTGAGTTCTCTTTTTTTCAAAGAAATTTGAAAGAATTGGCACGAAAGGCCATGGAAATGTGTTTGCGAGTGCTAAAGGAAAGCAACAAAAGTAGGTTCGATAGCTACAGTCGTCAGGAACAGTGTATTGATCATCTCCCATATTACCTTTCGGGATTGTCGAGTGCACATTTTTTCGACAACCTTCCTCGAGATAGCTGTATGTCGCGCGATGTTTCTCCAACGTGGTTTTCAGTTTGGCTTTTTAAATACCCGTCGAAACCTTGTCTTTTTTCAGCCTGAAGTCTAGTTTGGAATTCGTTTTTCACTGTGAAAAATTTATTAGTTTGATAGCTTCCCCGCCGATATATAGATCAAAGTTTCAGCTCTATATGCAACTCTACTGTCCAATTTGTTTGTTTTTGTCTTAATCCGGCGGCCGAAATAATGCTTTTCAATACACTTTTAAAAATGACGCCACACAATACGCAAAAAAGAAGAGGAAGAAAAGAAAGAACAAAGTATGGACCTTCACGCCGATATTCGCGGTGGGTCACCCATCCAGTTCCTAACCCCGCCCGACGGGGCTTAACTGGAGTGCCGCAACTAAACCGAATTTCGCGAGGGTAATTGAGAGATACGTTATTCTAGTTATTATTATTATTATTATTATCATTATCATGATCATTATTTTTATCATATAAGTAGTAGTAGTTGTAGTAGTAGTAGTGGCAGTAGCAGTAGCAGTAGCGGTGGCGCTACAACCAGTTGCAAAAGTACTTGAGACACTGTACCGTATTTTGGCAGAAATGGCCTGTCCATGATCTTTTGCTTGTGATCCCCCCTCCACCCCTTATCAAAGTTGCTAGCAATACAAGACCATACTCAAAACGTGGAGGAACAACTTTGAATGGGAGGGAGGAGGAAGGTCAGTATTATATTTACAGACCTTTGACCAGGAGCGATTTGAAGCAAGAAAGGTCGTTTTTCCGGGGGAGTGTCTCATCATTTTTGCAACTGGTTGTAGCGCTGGTGGTGGTGGCGGCGGTGGTGGTCGTAGTAGAAGTTGATATTGCTACTTTACTAGTATGTAGTATATACTTATACTACTATACCACTACCACTACCACTACCACTACCACTACCACTTTATTGCAATTCAACATGTTCCGTATGAATATAAGAAAACAAGAACGCTCTTAGTAGTAGAGCAAAACGCCCCATACCTGAGGAAATTTGGTAATATATCCATCCCATAAATTTTGTACTCACGTGGCCGTACACCCGACGGTTCGTCCGTCGGTCCGCACCACAGGCTTACCAATGTATAATATGAAAGTTGTCGTTACGTCTTTAACTCCTCCAAGTCCATGATGTCATGGGATAATCAGCCATGCAACCCTTTTGTGGCTGTGCAATCTACATGGCATTTGTTCCTTTTTTTTTCTCATACTTTAAAGCCACAGCTTATACTGCGTAATAGCAAGTCACGTTCAACTGGCCCAAGGCAACTAATTTTTATTACATGTTACAGATCTTTCCAGGGTTCGGTCTCCTAGAAAGGCATTTCAGCGACACTTCCAGTACAGCTGATTCTGGTTGCCATTCATCAATAACGGAGAAAACCAGAGAGGTATGTCAAAAGCGTTTAGGAAGGTGTCTGGTAGTTTAGGTAATTTTTACAATGTTAGTGCTCACTTATTTATATTTACTTTTATTTTATTTTATTATTTATTTTATTTGTATTGTATTTTATTTTCTTCTTATGCGCTGGTAAAAATAGAAAAAAATTATATCGGCGCTAGGCAAGTGTAGTTATTCCGAGAAAAGCGCCCTCGTGAAAGCGATTTATAATCTTGTTGCGCGCAAAGTGCTCTTCCGCGCTGGTCTTAGCGGCGTTCGACTGCGAAATTGCCTGGTTCTTGTGTATTTGTTAAGGGCTATATATCGGTCACTTCCGGTTGGTATCCGCCTTGACGTCATCCGCTTGACGTCACGCAGCAGTTGTGTTTCCAGGCAACATTTAAACATTCGATAGCCTTGAAGCTATTTTTGGTGCACTACCATGTTTCACTCACGAAGGGCTGATGCTTTATTCATCGTCTGTGAAAT